ATCTTTCTCTGTGTACTAGCTATCTCAATCCAAATGATATACCTTTAGGGGTGGCATTACTATTTTCACAGGTGAAGATACTGAGCATCTACCTAGTATACCAGATTTAAAATTTCCCAGTATGAGTCAGATGCTAAGGAAATGTAACTTTATTTCTCCATAACTGAAATTTCACATAAACCTATATTTTTAGCAATAGCAGAAAATACTGAATGTTTCCAATGAAACATTGAGTCTCTTCTAGTTTAAAACATAATCTTTTTTATACACATCAAGTAAAATTTAAAATTCCTTTTCCCTTTTCTTTCTGGTATGTCCTATTTGCAGATGTACAAACTGATCTTTTCTGGCTTCCCCGAGGTGTCTCCTTGGCTAGGTTTTTGGGCATAGATTGGCATATTTGCATCAATTACCTAAGGTGTCCTCAGCTGGTTGTAACTCCCACCTCTTTTATATCCAAAGAATTGCATTATGGTCCATGCTTCCTTGGCACCACCTCACCTCTCATGAGACTGTTGAAGCTGCTTGTATCCTAACAGTGTGCCATACCTTCCATCTACTTCTCTTTCTTTGGGATCTCCCATCTATATCTTTGCAGTGAGATCCCTTGTCCCCTTTATCTAGAAAAGCATGATTATTAAAAGTTGTTGGAGCATTTTTAGGTAGGCTTATGCCCACATCAGAGTCCAGAAATAGTGGGTATTCAAAGAATTCAGTTCTAAGAGACACTATGAGGTAAATTTAATTTTCCAGTGAAGTTGCTTCCAAAGTAGGTCAAGGAAAGGTAAAACAAAGCAGCTTCAAAAATGCCTTCCTCAGTAACAAAGTTTGCTCAAACGGTCAATATTGCAATCAGATACTGAAATGTATATCAGTTGTATAGTTTCTGAAATTCTAACCATGCACATAGAGAAATCTTCATTGATTAAGAAAATCAGTAAATTGTTAATATAGTGTTATAGATAGTAGTAAGTAGTAAAGACATAGTAATAACAATGCCTTTAAAGACTTTTAATCGGTACATAATTTTATGTTTAATGAATTGGTGTGCATGTCTAAAGATTGCTCACTACTTAGGAAAATGTAGTGCTCTAGACATTTAGCCTAGAATGATTGGAGGAATAAAGGAAATGATTAAATTATTTAAATAAACATAGATTGTTGTGGGTAGCACTTGGTTTTCAATGTATAAGAGTAATGTGCAACAGTTATTAGCCAAGTTTTTTAACCAACTATCTTAGTCACCATCATTGTTTTTTGTTTTTTGTTTTTAGTCACTATCATTGTTGCTGAGACACAATACCTAATACCTGCAGAAAAAGCATGGTGGAAAGACCTGGGTAGAGGAAAAAATGCCCCCTCATAGCAGCCAAGAAGCAGAAGAAAAAAGGGAGGAGCCAGGGAGGCAGATACACCCTTCCAGTTTACACCCCCAGTAAAGTGCCTCTTCCAACCACGCCCCACCTCCTAAGAGCACATTCATCTATGGATTCATCAGTGGATTATAGCACCCCCATTATCGAGTTGCCTTCCAGACACATTTCAGATCTCACCCATAACACCTACAAATTTCAGTGTAGATGCTGCATAAAGATGAATCTCAAATATTGTAAGAAACCAAGTATTTGGTGTTGGTCTACTCTTTTAACTGTCACTGTCCTTCTTTTTAACTAAAGGGGCATGTATTAAACAGCTTTTTATATTTAATATTCATTCTGTGTTTTTAGATTCTCCTTCAATATTTATTTCCAATATTCTTCAGTATTTATTTCCAGATATCCAAATTTATATTCCATATAATTTAGACTTACTTGATATTTTTCATAAATTTTAAGATGTGTCCTTTCATGTATGTGGAAGAAATTCTAAGTATTTATGCAATGGTGCATATATATATAACTTGATTTTAATCTCTGGAAACATTTGTAAGATCTAATATGTATCATTTCTTTCATGTGTCCTTGTAGTCCTTTAAATACTAGTGAGAAGATCTGAGAAAGTGTGCATTATTTAACTGAGATGAAGAAAGGGTATGAACTGTAAATTTTTTTCAAATACCAATCCTTATTTTAGGAGCTACTTTTTTCAAACTTTGGAATTTGATCATCCCCAACACACACTATATTCTCATTCAGCAATGGGCATTGAATATTTCATTTTCAAAGTCATTGAACATGAGGAAGACAAATAGCAGTGTTTGCACTGTAACATGTGTTAACAGGACTTTTTGGATCATTATGGCAATGATTTTCCTCCCTAAATAATTTTTACAAATATATTGATGAAGACAAATTTCTGTTATCCATCTTGAATGGGTCATAAGTTGAACTAGCACATTTTTTCCTGAAACAGTGCACAGTTGTGACATGGCGTTTAATAGTCTTAAGCCTACTGCTGCCAAAATAAACACAGCTGTAAGAAATGATGACCTTCTCATCTTCATAACAATAAAATGGCTTCCTAATATGCTTCCCTCACTCTGAACATTAATATTATTGTAGATTTCAGAGTCCCATCTTCTTTCTCTGGGGAAGCCCCGTGAAGAATACCGATTTGGATCAAATAACAACATAGAGAATGGCATTAGTTGTATTAAATTAAATTAAATGACCCAAAAACCCTTCTAAATTTTTGTCACAATGCAACATTAAACCAAACACATTAGCTAATGTGGACCAAAGAAAAGTATTAATAGTTTGAAAAGAAATTTTGTGAGCTAGACCAACTTCAGATTTGAAAGAGGCGTGGATGGATAGCATGTGGGCTGTGATAGTTTACAATACGTGGATCCTACTCTGCAGTCGTAAGTGGGTTCTCTTCTTGTTTAATCTTTGGATATAAAATCAACTATTATAAATATTTTCTTGATTTTCTTTTAATTTTTCAAAAAGCAAGTCTTTTGTTAAAGACTATATTCAAGAAAATGATAAGAAAAAGTATGAAGTATAAGATCTTAATTGTATGCCATGTTTCTTGTTTTATTTCTATGTAAACAGCACCATATAATTTACAAATTACCATTAAGATATATTATCTTCTAAAAGAAAAAACAAAATCTGATTTCTGTCACACTCTGATTGATTTTGTTTTAATTTGTTCCCCCTGAAAGATCTGATGTTTATTTTTTAATTTAATTCTATGATGTTGAGTTGTAGGAAAATAAAAGCTTCTGTAGAGTTAATCCAGATACATAAAAGTCCATGCTGACATGATCATAATCTTGATCTTTGATTAGATCTGAGCTAGTAATATCTTGTGATTAATCAAAATGGTTTGCATGTCGTATGTCATCTCACAGATGGACTAGAGAATCAGAGTTCTTTTGAATATTTGTTGTAATCCCTTCTAGGATAAAAATGGCTTTTGTTTGTTTGTTTTGTTTTTTACTTTAAATCAGATTGAGTACACCAAATAAATGACTAGGAAAAAATTTTGAAATACAAGGTTTTAGAATCATAGATCAAAAAACAAGAAACTTGTTTTGTAATTCATGGCATTTTAAGAGATGCTTTATATAAAAAGTGACATTTTTAGTAAAATTTAACAAGTAATCTTGCTCATTTATAGTTTCAACTAAAACCATCGTAAAAGACTATACCAAAATATATAACTCATGAAAATAATTTTGAGGTTTTCATTGTTCTCAAGAGCATGAAATATTTTTCAAGATTTATTAATTGTCCCTCTTCTGATTATGCAACTCCAGTCTAATTGACATCTGATAATGAAGAGCTGTATACTTTGGCAACTGCTATCAGACATCTAACACCCAGAGCACAGCAAGAGCTCTCAGATTCCACGGGTGGTATGTTTTACTGCATGTGTCTGTCAGTTCTGGCCAGGAGCTGCTTTGATTTAATTTTTTTTTTTTACTTTTTACTTTTTACGAAGTTCATAGGTTGACTGACTCATGTTCCCAGGAGCTTCAGAGTGGAGCTGTGGTGCTTCAGGATTTGGATCCCGGTGCTCAGCTTCTCTTTATGCAGTTGCATGACTGCAGATTTGTTGACGTCTTCATCCTGAGATCTCTTCCCTGCAAAAATGAAATATTACACTAAAACTCCAAAGGCGCCATATAATTGCAAGATCTTTGCTAAATAACATCAGTGAAAAATTCCACAAAAATCACACAATAAATAAATAATTAAATAAATAAGTGGCTTGAAAAACTTCAAAACCCATAATGCATCATCCCCCAAAAGCCCTGATGTATAACAATATAATTGAAGATTTCTTCAAACTAAAAAAATTCATAATCTACATTTGTGGAAAAATATAAATCCCTATGCATAAGTTTGGATTTAAAATGAGGTGGGGTTAGTTTGATTGAGCTAATGTAAAATAAAATAACCAATAATTGAAATATGTTGCTTACATGATTTTCAACAAGCAGCTTAACTAGATCTTAGATTAGTCCTAGTCCTTAACAGCTCACCAAGCTCATAGTAGGCAATCACAAATGTTACTCCAAACTAGGTTTGGGTTCTATTGACTAAATTTATCAGGCAGCACTTATAACATGAATTGTGAAAGACCAAGAAAAACAGGCATCTGACCATTTGATATTTATCAGCATTATACCAGATTGACCAATTGCATAAAATTATTCAAACAGGTGAGTTAACTTCCTGGAGATGCCATTAGCCATGGACTTCCTGGTCTACAGTTGACTACTTATAGTGATGAGAAAATGCACATAAAAAAAGAAATAAAGCATGTTACAACTTAACTGTCAAGCAGCCATTCAAGCCTTGAACCAAAGTTTCTCAAAAGTTGCTCAGCAAAAGTTGTGAATTAAACTGCTTCCTCCACAGCCATCCATACATGAGTGTATAAATCTTTAATATAAGAAGCTCATAAATCTTCTGTGACTCTATAAGAACCGTTAAAGAAGAGAATTGAAAGAAGCTGTTCTATTCATGCAACCTACTTCTAGAGTGGACAAATATGGGTATTAAGATAGTAATTTGATTTCTCCTTTTCATTCTTTTTTTTTATAGGCGACCTGGTGAACCACCATTGATAAAAGGCTGGCTTCCTTATTTTGGAATGACCATGAAGTTCCAAAAAGATCCTTTAGGTTTCATAAGAACTCTGCAGAAGCAGTATGGTGACATATTCACTGTTCTTCTTGGGGGTAAGAAGCACTTCAATGAGTGATTTACACATGTCACAGTTTCTCACTTATTCATTAATGTCTTTATATTTTTCTATAGGCAGAACAGCATATTCTTATAACATTGTCTTATTTGCAGAGCTGATGCAAAAGCATACCATGTTTTTGAGTCCAGTAATCATCACATGAAAAAACAAATAATAGAATCCTCTTGGTGGTACCTAAAAAAACCCCAGTCTCTTGCAGTCATTTGTCATCTTTTTAAATTTGGCTTGGATTTAAGAAGGGCTTAAAAAGAACTAGACTGTATTTTTAGTGAGCTTTTATTTGTAGAGCAGTTTTAGGTTTACAGGAAATTTAGCAGATAGCTCAGAGTTTCCATATACACCTTCTCTTCCCTCATCACAGTTTCCCTAATTGTTAACATTGCATCAGTGTGACCCACCTATTATAACTAATACGCCAATATCGACACATTGTTTAAAGTCCATTTTTATATTGCAATCTACTTTTTGTGTTTTCCTTTCAGTTTTCACAAATGCATAATGTCATGTCCCCACCATTACGATACCATATGCAGTGATTTCACTATCCTAAAATCTCTGTGCTCCACCTACTCATTCTTCTTTTCCCACCTCTGAGCCCCTAGCAAACACTGGTCTGGAATGATTTTCTCTATTTTGAAATGTTTATTGTGATTTAAATTTCCATAAAAATATTTACTCTACCAAATAACATGATTATATCATAGGACTGAGAGAAGAACCTGAAATGTTTTTAACTGGACCTCTTTTGAGATGCCAGTTATCTCGCTGTATCAGTTATCTATCGCTGCATGACAAATCTCCCCTGAATTTAATGGTTGGAAGTAACAACTCTTCCTTCTTTTGTATTCTTCTGATTTCTGGTGTAATCACTGGTGTGGCTTGAGTCACCTGACTGCCGGTGGGGATAGAGACTCCAAGACGGCCTTATCTTGATGGTCTGTCTTCCCTGTCCACATCCTTTTTCCTCTTCCAGGAAACTTCTTCATTTGGGAGTTAGTAACTCCAAAAGGCAAAAGGAAAAGCTGCAAGTTTTCTTATGGCCTAGGCTCCGAGTTGTAAACCCTAACTTCCACCATATTCTATTAGTTAGAGCAAGTCACAGTGGAGCCCAAAATCAAGGCTAGGAAAATTAACTCAGCCCCTTCCTAGAGTGGGGCCAGAGTCACAGTGCACAGGAGCTCACATCAAGAGACCAAAGGCAGTGATTGTGGCCATTTTTGCACACATTCTTTCATACAAGTTATCACTGGGGCTAGCAATTCCCTTTTTTAATTTTAATTTTTAGTCTGTATCCTGAAGGCTGAGCTCCACAGATTTACACACATTTGTTTGCTCTCCGACTTCAGGTTGGTTATTACCAATGAGAAGGCAGGCAGAAGCCTGTTCAGCCCCCAGCTCTTACTGGACTCTGATAAAACTGTTTACTCTTTCTTTCATTAGACAGTTGATAACATCAGATCTATTCTCCCTCTCATCCCCATATTTCTACTGCATGTATCTACATTTCACAACTATCCTTACTATCTTCTCAACACATGTTCAAGGTAGTCCATTTATCTGTCCTCCTTTATTTATGTGTTCCCCTTTATCCCTGCCTCTTTCAGGCATGATAATCCAAGTTCTTCACATATTATAAGTGTCTCTAGTATTTTTCTTTCAGAGGGTCTGTATCCTTAATTTATAAGCAAACTTATGTTTCTCTTACAGTCTTCTGGTTATCTTTCTTTTCTTTTTTTTTTAGTTTTCTCTTTTGCATCTAGATATTTTGCCTACATTTACTGTCTCTAGTTACTCATCCCTAGAGCTCTAATCACAACCACCCTTTGACTTACTGAGATCATCTGCAGGTTTGCCTAAAAAGATTTCTCTACCTACTTTTGATACTCCTGATGATCTCTTGTTTCTTCCTGACCTATCCTATTGCATTATAACTCTCTTAAAACTGACTCTTCTGGTTCCTTGATTGACTGAGCAGTGCTTATCTAGGACATCTTTATGGATAAGTCTTTCTTAGCTCAGCGCCTTCTATCTTCCTCCGACTAGTTTGGGACTTTTATGTTCTATTGTCAGAGAGGCAGTAAAGTTTTCTACCTATACTTTGCCTAGAGTCAAAGGCAACCTTTTGTACATACTGTGACTTAAATTCAGAGCTACCATTTTAATGTAATATTTGAGTTAAAAATAATCCAATTGGATTAACTCGTGGACGTGGTAGAGCTGCCCCATGGACAAGCAGTATTAGTTTTATCACAATTTACTTTTTTGCCTGGCATCTGCAAATTGCTTCTAAGAACTACATGCACTCTAATTTCAGAAAAATTAAAATGGAAAAAAATGTGCATCTTTGAAAAAAAGGAACTGTAATGTAAAATGTAATCGCGTAAGGCTCCCCGAGATCTAGTCTCGCGAGATCCACTCTCCGTCCATGTTCTTTGCTGCTGTTGGCCTTGTGCTTAATGTACTGTTAATATGCCACATTGTTAGAATTTCCTCCTCATAAACCATAGCCTTTGTGTCTCTGGCTGTTCTTTATTCTAGCATGCTGTTCTCACCTGATTGATAGAATTTATCTTTTGCAGCCATGGTCATGTATTACTTCTTCCTCAAATCTTTTCCTCCCCTCTAAAACATTTGATGCCTCTTCTTCGGGATCCTTACTCCTTACTCCTTCTATTACTGTTCTCAGAACATTTAATACATTGTGAATTTATTGCTCATTCACTTGTCATTATTCTGTTAGCTCCTGTATTACCAACATTTAGTTCAGATCTCAGCACTAATTGATTCACAATAAATGTTTCATGAAAAAATTCCCAGTACCTTAGAGCTGATGAAATACTATGGTATATATAAAGGACAAAATTGGTGTTTCTTTTCTAAGTGAACTTTTGGCCTCATGGTGAAAACCTATATTCTCTTTTTTTAAAAAATCACTTTTACTTAAAAAAAAAATTAAGCTTATTTTGGCGCCTGCCTCGCAAGCACAAGGTCCCAAGTTTGATCCCCGGTACCAAAAATGATAATAATAATAATGATGATAATAATAATAAGCTTATGTTTCTAATGAGTAGGTACAAAAATTATTGAAACTTTCAACTTTTCCTTTTTAGTTACATTATGCAAAAATTACCTATGATGACTTGGCAGAAATTTGTGGTAGATTTGAATAACTTTATTCACTTTAAAAAAATTGTGATTTTTTTGGCTTACATTTGATATGTTAATCTTAAATTCTGAGAGGCTTTCTGAATTTATAATGTCTAAAGAATTTAACCATAGTTACATATTTGAACTCAATAATAGACAACCACAATTGAATAAGTACTACTGCTTTCCTTTCTGTTTTTACTGCAGTTCGAATAAATTCCTGCCAAGAAATCCTGTTAATGTACATGGTTCTAATGATCAGATTCCAAAGAAACTCATTTAGAAATGAAGAACAAAGTCTTCCACCCTTGTCCATGATGTGATTTCAGCAAATGTATATTCTTGCAGAATGAACAAATGATTGTCACCCTAAAATGTCTCAAGGGACACAAATGTCATCTTAATAAAGAAATTAAAAGATACATCTTTTCATGAGAAACCACGTAAACTCGTGACCTGTCTCAGAAAATAGTTCTCTAATTGGTTTTGTGTGGTGGTGCCTCAGAATCATTTTCCCTAGATGTCACCCCAGCGAAGTTCTACTGTACATCATTGTCAACAGCTAGTGAAATCTCCCTAATAAGAAGGGGCTACATAAAGGTGGTCATCCTTATAAAATAAAAAGTTGGCTCATATTCCATTCTCACAACTAATACTTTCAGGTTGAGATTTTTAAACACAAGAGATAGAAAGCTTATAATTATGGAAAAATTCTTTAAGATTAAAATTTGTCTCATATTTATTGGCTGGGTGTTTCTATCCCAAGCAAATAGTTGTCCTGAATTTTTATGGCTAGGTCCCTATATAGCACCAAATATCAGACGTAAAACACCAAAGTTAATTTTTAATGATTCAGATGTCAAACTTTGTGTATGTGTGCAAGACATCAGGGTTAATAGCTAGATTTAAAAAAAATACATTCATCAACATACTTCAAATCATGTAGCTTCACTTTCCTAAAGAAGCAATTCTGATAGAAGGGAAAAGGCTATTGAGTTAGTAAATAAATATGTACAGATTATACAGAAATGCTAGAATTAATAACTTAGAGGGCTTGGTCAGCTCCCTAAAAAGGAAGAGAATAAAATAATAGAAAAGAAAGACATTAAATTTTTACCCCTTTTCAAATTTACTGTTTAAAAAGTGATTTTATATTGTATTTTTGCAGACATGGGCCACATTTGACATCCATGTTTTAGACAAATGCAAACTCTGAAATTCTTTAAATAAATATTGCATACTAACTACTGACAATATTATCTTCTTTTCTGAAAACATAGCAGAGGATACTGTTTCTACTTTGTGATCTTTCTGAACGAGGCCACATGCCTATTCACTCATGGCAGTCATTTACATAAAGTCACACTGGAGCAAAAGTTAATTTTACTCTAAGAATACATGGCCTATAACATAACTTTTCAGATTCCCTTTGTTAGAAAATTTAAATTCCTTTTGTGAATGTATATGTGTTTTCCTAACTGTCTGGTTAAGATCACAAAGAAACTCTGGTTTTGCATCTCACATTAGCAGATGGTGGACAGATGGTTTAAATTAATATTAATTTTGGAAAACTTAGCTTAAATTGTTTATACTGAAGATTAAAAGTTGGAAAGCCAGCTAACATCTCCAGGGTTATTAGTACTTCCAAACCCACTTGAACAGTAAAATCTGGAAAATCAAAACATGTACTTCTAAAGCAATCCACACCTCAGTCAGAAAGATGGAAGGTAGAATGCAGAGTCTTGATGTTGAAGAAAATTAAAATGAGAACTAGAAAGAGAAAATACAAATTCTAGAGTGAAAAGAGTTTGAGAAGAATAAGAATTAAGAATTTTATCTGCAAATAGCTCAAAATTAATCAGTAATGATTTATTTTTAAAAACCTAGAAAAACAACTGCTTTTAAGAAATATATGAATAACTCTGGTAAACACCTGAAACAATTTTCCCACATTCAACATGTTCTTTTCTTTGAAATGAATTTTGCATTTTCTTTATATGGAAGGAAGGGAGAAGGCAGAAAGTAGAGTCAAAGAATGCATATATTTCTTTTGAATTATGGAGAAAACAAAGACTAACATACATCCAGCCTCTACCTCCAGTCTGCATAGATTTTTGTCCTCCCACTTAGATTTAGTTGAATATAGAAAACTGGTAGGAAAAATTTCAAAATATTCTGTAAAGATTATATGTTTTACAGGTAAATGGTTTTTAATTCTCTGAGTTTTAAGGAATCATTTAAAATAACCCTAGAATAGTTAGCAAAATCTTTTCATTTAATGAAAGGAGAAAAGTATGACTCACCACCTGTGAAAATGGACAGCTTGGCCTAAAATTGTATCTTCTGAAAAATGAGAAAATTGACTTCTTTCCTTAAATTATTTATCAGCCAGATATTGCCAATTTTATTTAATTAAGCTCTGATAGTAAAGCAGGTGTCAGAAAGTATGTCCAAATCCGGTTGAGTCCATTTTGTCCTCCCCAGAGTGGATAGGATAGATAGATAGTTATCCAGTTTACTTTGTAGAAGATATCTTTGTTGTCAGACCAGATTGAGTAGCCCTTTCAGCCATATCCTCATTCCTACATTGGTTTACATAATTAAATGAATCAAGGGAAAATAGGGTAAAATTCAAGTCATATGATTCATTTTTGAAAAGCAAACCACAAAATATGTACATTAAAATCTTTAACCATATTTTAAAGATCTAAAGCAAAAATATTTATCCTATTTCTAGGAGTTGGTTGAAAGTTATTCAAAAACTTTACCCTAAATAAATTATGGCAAATTGAATTTTTGTGATGCCATTTGAGTTACCATATATAACAAATAAAATGTTCTCTAACAAAAAAGAGACAGGAGAGAGAGAGAGATGAGCCTTTTGAGATCATTTAACCTTCCTACGTGTTTTTGAAAAGGAAAGATTTATTAAATTCCATTATTGGGTACTATCTGCAAAATATTTCTAGTTGCAGTGAATTAAAACAGCACTCCAGTGAGAAGAAACCAGCACTATGTGAAGAAAATCATAGTGTGTGGGGAGAAACTTCTTGTGCAGACTTGGTCTTGGTTGTTCTCTATCCACTTTGCTCAGCTTTCTTAACTGTTAAAAGCCTGTGTGGAGCTTAGAACTCTCCAAGGTCCTTGGCACTGTTGAGAGACAGACATAGTGTCTATGGCCATACTACTCTGAATGCACCTGATCTTGTCTGAGAGACAGACAGTATAATTATGTTCCTCAAGGGTGCCTCCTACTGAGACTCACTTGAGGATCTTGTCAGTAATAGACTTGTAAGCTTTACCTTCAAGCATGATGAATCAAAATCTTGGAGGAATCTGTATTTTCAACAAGTATCCTAGTTTTGGCAACAGTAGTATATAAAAAAGATAAAAGTCATCATCTCAAGGAACCCTTTCTGACAACTCCAGGCAGGCTGAAGCCAGTTCCACTTCTGCATGCCTTCTGTTTTGACTTACCTATGCTGTGTCACTATCTATCATGACCCAATGATTTCTTCATCTTCATATCTCAAGGAAAAAATATCCAACCATGTGAATTTCAGTCACTGTTCAGTAAATGAATGGATGAACTAATAGGTTCTAGATTAAAATCCTGTTTAAGTTACAATTCAGTGTGTGACCTTGAACATGTTCCTAAATCTCCTCGAACCACTATTTTCTCATCTATAAAAATGAAATACTGGCATTTGTGATTTTATTTTTGTAGTTTTGAATTAGATGCTTATTTGTGAACTAGATATTTACTTATTTGTGAGGGCATTGTCATTTACTTGAGGTAAAATTATTATATTTGACCAAGGCTAAGATGATACCAAATACATAAAAGCTCTTTCTTTATCAAGTATAAATGAAAAGCAGTGTTATGACATCTTACTAATTTGTTTTATTGTTTTCTGGGAGAAAATGATAAATGCTTACATAAAGACATTATGAGACTATTTAAAGGATATTTAAAATGTTTGAGTAATTTAGTAAAAATCAACATTGGGAGTATAAACTATCATACCGAAAAGGTCATTTGAAACTTCAGGATATTTACCTTCAAGCTTCTAGAGCTTTTTACACCATCTTCTATTTTCAAATGAAATATGTAGTGGCCCTTTGAATGAAATGGATTTTTATTAAACTTTGTGTCTTAGTTAATGGAATCTTTCTAATTTTAATTAAAATATTTTCAGTGGGGCTTGGTGGTACACACTTGGGAGGCTGAGCCAGGAGTATGAGAGTTCAATGCAAAATTTAAGGTATGCATATGTTTGCTCTGCTACCGAATAAACTCATATTCTTTCCTTTTTTTAGGCAAGTACATAACATTTATTCTGGACCCTTTCCAGTATCAGTTATTGGCTAAATATCACAAAAAATTAAGTTTTCAAAGACTTACTCAAAAATTATCAGTGAAAGTATTCTCCATCAAGATTGTGGAAAACTATGAGGACCTAATCCATGAACTTCATGGTGCCTATCAACTTTTGCAAGGCAAATCATTGGATATAATTCTGGAAGACATGTTACAAAATATAAAACAAATGTTTGAGCTCCAGCTATTAAAAACCACAAATTGGAACACAGCACAAATGTTAACATTTTGCTGCTCAATAGTATTTGAAATCACATTTACAACAATATATGGAAAAGTTCCTGCTGGTGAAAGAAAAAAGTTTATCAGTGAGCTAAGAGATAATATTTTAAAATTTGATAACAAATTCCCCTACTTGATGTCTGACATACCCATTGAGCTTCTACAAGATGTCAAATCTATACGGGAGAAACTTATAAAATGCATGACACCAGAAAAATTAGCTAAGATACCAGGAACATCAGAAATTGTTCAAAAGAGGCAAGATATTCTGGAGAAATACTATGGGCTCAAGGACCTTGATATAGGAGGTAAGAAACTTCTGAATTATTACTTACCTAAAATAAAATAATTTACAGTAGACCTTTGAAATAAAAAGACAAAATGGCGACCTTGAAATTTTTTATGCTCTTTCTAATTGGCTAATGATAAAATGTTTTACTCTGAAAAAAACCCTCTCTGATAATTGATTTTTTTTTTTTTTGCTGAGGTGGTAAAACAAGATACTTAATGATGATAATGAGAAAGAGTATAACTAAGCAGCATTACTCCTCTTATCTCATCCCCCACTTTCCTGCCCCCCCATACACATTACATTTTAAACTATTCTCATTAAGCAGAAAATTAGACTTCAGAAGCCTATTGGTTCTCATTAGCATGCACTGATCCTTGGCTGGGTCTGTGTCCTAACATCTTTTAATTAGCACACTGCAAATCTAATCAGTGTAATAAATGCTATTAATCTTCCTTTTCACTTATTTTCTCCCAGCACATCATTTTGCCCTTCTCTGGGCCTCTATCGCAAATACTATTCCAGTTATGTTCTGGGCCATGTATTATGTTCTCCGGCACCCAGAAGCTGTGGACGCACTGCATGACGAAATTGACCATTTGCTGCAGTCAACAGGTCAAAAGAAAGGGTCTGGAATTTCCATCCACCTCACCAGAGAACAGTTGGACAGCTTGGTCTGCCTAGGTAATTTATTTTTATCTGTTGTGAAGAAAAGAAGGTACCTCTCTGCAAACTCAGTTTATCACTCATAGCTGTTTACCAAGAGGTGGAGGACACAGCTGCCTAATTGACATAATAACACCCATTTACATCAATTATAAATTATGTAGTTTATAGCTGTAGATACTCTCATTGCATGTAAACATTAAGGCCTAGGTAATTAACGATGCAAGGTATGCAAAAGGCTAAACCAAAGCTTTGCAATTATTTAAAAAAAATAGTTTATGCCTATTAAGTCATTTGATTCTGAGCATCTGTTGGTGTGCTAATGCTTTCCAAACATTGCTGCACTATCTTGACAAGCAAAGGATTTGAGGCACAAGCAAAGTATTTCAGAGAGGCAACTTGTGTGCAAAATGTATTCATTCTTCCTTAAAATGCTGTCTGTATTTTTAGGCAGAGATTAGTATGTTTTGTATAGCTTGGAGTATATGGTTCTTAAAAATGTAGTAAAAAATGCTTTCCACTGGAAATTCATGATTTGAATGCACTCAAGAAGAAAAGGAAGGATAGGAAGAAGGGAGAAAAAGGCCAATGACAAACTGCTCCGTGTAGAATATTGATACTTTATAACATATTCCCTGACTCGTGAGATAGCCGGTTCACTATTTCAAATACTTTTGAATTTAAAAAGACCAAGCTTTTTAAAAATTTCTACATAAGCCTGTATGCCTGTGACATGAACTCTTGATTGCAGCAGATTGCATTCACCTTTACTGGTTTTGAGAAGCCTTTTCATTATGTACCTTTTAGGTTAAATGTTACGTCAATGAGTTAATCTCTATTCCCTCCGTATTTACATTTCATCCTGTGGTACTTTTTAGGATACAATATTCCTAGTTCCTTTGGACAAATGCAGGAAGAAATGCTTATATATCTATTTTAGCTCCCACCTTGACAATCTAGGCTAGTATTTTACCCTGTGTTGACCTCAATTTCTTATTTATAAATACATTCTAGGTGCTTTGATGGCAGTGTCTGAGAGCAAAGACTTTCCTGGTCTTGGTAATGGTTGGAACCGACAAGGGCCCCAGTGTAATAGAGGTTGTTCCCACTGTTCAGACTAAGACCAATTAGAGACAATAAAGGAAAGGATGCCCTATACTGGCCAAGGCTAGGAAAAATACGTCACCTTGTGGTTTGGTGTCATATGTATTATCAAAGGAATTTTGTATTTGCTTGAAAAAGAAAATAATCTTAACAGTGTTCTAATACAAACATTATTTTATTTTTCTTTGCAGGATATTCAGGGAGCAAATACACAAAATTTCTAACAAATTTTATGTAGTTGCTTCTACTTTGATATATTTTTTGGTAGTTTTTATGAAGATATAAATGGCATTCTCCATATAGCCACAGAATTTCCATTGCATTTTATGAATAAAATGATGCATACTGAGAAGCAATGCAAATAAACTTCAATGAATATGTGTTTGTATTTTGTACATAATTATTACTAGAATTTATTTGAAATTTATCAACTCTACTAGCAACTCCGTGTCATTGAAAGAAAAAATTGTTTTTAAAGTGTGGTATTAAAGTAGAAATGTTTGAATTTACTTGACCTGAAAAAATGGCAGATTCTAGGCCAACAATTTGAGTTCATTGAAATCCATAAGCTGAACCGAGGGGTTTCATTCTTGGATCATTCCTTTTTGTTGTTGTCCTTAAATTTGTAACTGTCCTCTCATCAACCAATGAGTAACAACAATAAAAATCCCAAGTGAGTTGAGCTCCACTTGCTAAGGCAGTGCCTTCAGCAACCTACAAGACTCATCATGACCTCTGTCACCAGCAGAGACCAGCATTGTTGTTTATGAGAATTTAAAATGATGAGGCTATCTTCTGGAAAACTGTGTATTTCTTTTTCTTTCATGTGATAGTTTTTATCAAATTAGAAAAAGAATTGTAATCAGTTACATAACAGACAACTTCTGCTGTTAGTTGTAGCTCAGTCACAGTGTTTCCCTATCTCCAAAGAGCATAAATTGTAAGCACAAAGGTAAGATGAAACAACTAAGTATTTACAGTGGGTCACATGGTATAAGTGTGTGCATTTACCCTTTTTGTCTCCTTAAGGAAAGACTCTATGTATTTAAAACACAGTTTTTATTGAAAGTGTATCTTGAACTTTTATTTTAAGAAAAAATATTCCAGAGCTGGAGATTTAGCTCAGTGGTTCAGTGCCTTGCAAGCCAAGTTCCTGAGTTCGAGCCCCAGTACCAAAAAGAAAAAAAAGAAAAAATATTCCATAATGAAATGGATCTTGCATTTTTTTAACCAACAAAGAGTATTTTGACATTAGTACAACAAAGGAGATTGTTCTTTTGTCAGAGATTTTGCATGTCAGCATACTTTATAAAGCACTATAGAGAAGGGAAGTTAGAATGGCATAGCCTGTTTAAGTAATTTTTTAAAATCATCTGTTGTGAGAGGTTAGTTTGTGCTTTTTTCCAATACCCTTTGAGATTCTCTATAAAATGATTTTATTTTCTTTTAGACAAAAAATACAATATTTTATTTTTATATTTATGTATATTATTAAAGATTACACTGATTATAACCTCACGATAATCTTGTATCTATTATTATTTAGTAAAAAGCTCTACAAGTAATTTTAAGTAGAATTGAAAATAATTTAAATACAATGTGGTTCAGATCACTGTGACTTGTTGTCAAAATCTCAATAGGAAAAACTGCTGATGGAATGGAAGTTTAAGAAACTCGGTGACAAAAGTGAGAATTTTTCAGTTTTTTTCACAAAGGAAAAGTTGAACTGGAGGTAGAATTTAGAACTTCAGGTTTCAAATACAGATTAGGACAAAGAAAAGGAAAAAAAGTAATCCAGAGAGAAAAGAAAAATGTTAATGAAAGGATAGTGAAGCTCTCAAAATTAAAATTTTACCAATTGATAGCAAATAGTTTCAATGAATACTACTTATTACAGCTTACCTGAATAACATGCATAAACAACTATATAATGGCACACAGTGTAGACTCAATAAATACTACCTATTGTTATCATCAAAATGATATTTAACTTTTATAATATCACTATTAATCTTATATTGTTCTCTTCCTTTTCAATTATTTTTGATCCCAGCTGGCATCATATTTAACTACCATGACCCACAGGGATGCTGTTTTTCTCCATCACTCAGGAAAAAAGCAAACATAACTCTAATAAGAACATAAGCCAAAGTAGATTATAACTTCTGGATAGCTCAAGTAAAATTGTAGACACCGAGTTTGTTCAATTATACACCCTGAAATAGAGCAAAGTTACAGACAATCTAATTGAAGGATATTGGAATACTAGAAAGCCCCATGAAACTAGAGCTGGACAAAATACCTAATACTTTTTTTTAAAGGAAAAGATCAAAAGTTATAACTCTAGAATTATAAGCTTTCAGTGATTACCAAAATTCTGTTAAATATTTTAGCCCATTGCTTATAATCAGTTGGAAAATATAAAGGTCCATTAACAACAAACAATAGTAATCTTTAGATATAGTCCATGTTAAATATATTAATGATTTCAATATTTCAAAGAAATTTTATATACTTATATTATTTCATGTGATCTTTCCCAAGATACTCTGAGCAACTGTGCCTGCTATTATTTTGTCATTATTTTACAGATGAGAAAATTCTCAGGTGCTAAATAACTCATTCTTAGTATCATTGTTTTCCTTTAATGATTAACAAGCTGCAGAAAGATTAACTAATCACCTCACGTTTTAAGATTAGATAGTTCATAGTAGACCCAGATATTGATGCCAGGTCTGCCTGACCAGTGCTTGACATAACCACTGTAATCTCAGGTAGAATTGCTCTAGAAATGCATCCGAGAGCTTGGCCAATACTTTTTGCAAGATATGTATCACTGATTCTCAATTGTAGCAGGGTTTGAATGTGAGGGCTGGAGTTGAATAGGGCTAGAGTTCACATTAGACTCTTGAGGGTATGTTTTGAAATAAAAATAAACAGTTTTAGAATAGTTTTACAGGACAGTTACAAAGATAGTAGAGAGAATTCCCATATACCCCTTACACAGTTTCCTTTATTTTATATCTATGTGGTATGTTTGTCATAAATTTGGTCATTATTTTGAAAAGGTTCAATGTTATAAAAGAATTGTATACTTGAAAGTTAAAAGTACATAATTCAGACAATTCTGAAGTTTACCAAAGTCCTTTCTAAATTAGAGAAGGCATAAACTCTACTTCATGTTAAGAGCATCTAACAGGAGGTGGGGGGAGGCATTTTCCATCAAAGGGTACATTAGAAACTCAGAAACTTAGGCTTGTAGGCATTTGAGATTGTTAGATGTGATATAAGGGAACATCAGTAAAAAAGTGAAAAATACAGATTTGGATGTTCATCAAATTCTCATTTTAAAACAAAGCCAAGAGGGTTTGGTAGGATAATGAGTGATGGGAACAGAAACTGAAAGGATTGAAAGGGAACTTTAATGCAAAGAAAAGTAGCAAATTATTGTAGTTAGGTCTGAAAATCAGCTGCAAAAGATGAGACTTTTAGCATAGCAGAAACTAATTTAAGCAGTGTCTCTCAGCCTTGATTCCTCATTGGAATCCTCTGGGACCTTTAAAAAAAAAAAAAGTTATCTCTGGTCCATCCCCCAGAGATACTGCTTTCATTATTTTAGAGTGAAGGCTGATGGTTTTAAAAGCTCCCGAGGTAATTCCAATTTATGGTCAATGTTTTAAGTTAATTTAAAGGTTTTAAGTTAAGGTGGTTGTTCTGACTCTATTGGGCTCAGATGGAGCATTTATTTTCCTGACAATCCCAGGCAACTCTAATAGGTGTACCCAGGACTGCTGATAGCCTCTGGGATATCACGTGAAAACAAATCAGTGGAGATAGTATTAAAAAATATTTTCCTTGGGGCCGGGGATTTAGCTCAGTGGTTTCGCCGCCTGCTGTGCAAGCTCAAGAACCCAAGTTCGATCCCCGGTACCAAAAATATATATATGTATATTTTCCTCATAGGCTCCCGGGAAGCATTAATAGGTGTATGGTGCCTAGGACACGGGAAAATGAGAGTTCCTCTGCAATTTTCCAACTGAAATGAATCCTGCCACATTTTAAAAGGCATGCTGACTAATTGAATTCATCCAGCATGTCAGAAGACTGAAGAGTATATCATCTCTGACACATGACTAGAAAGTGGCATGATAGTTGTCTTTACATATTTTTAAAGGCCTGTTATATGGAAAAAATACTAGGCTTTTTTTTTTGCCTGTCTGTTTTATAAAGTGTGAAAATTAAAGGGAAGGAAATTCTACCACTACCTGAAAAATAATATTCTACTAAAATGGGCTTTCAGAATGCTCATTGGAGTTATCCTATTCAAAATTAAGCAATATCAAATTGTTTAGAGAAGAGATTTTAGAAGTTCTCATAGCAAATAACTGGTAAATATGTAAGGTGATGCATATGTTAATTAGACTGAGCCATTCTATAATGTGTACATATGTACTATGTATTTCAAAAGACTATATACCATAAATATATATGATTTTTATTTATCAATTGAAAAAAGAAATTGTACAATAGCTGCTATAGGCTTTTGGGAACATTTTTGTTTTTAATGTACCTTCCAGCTGTGAACTACCTAGATTGTTGTGTGTGTGAAGGTTGCATCTATCTGTGGTGTTCCCTTTTCTCAGTAACAGGAGTGGCCCAGTGTTCTTAGCAGAACAGAACCTTCACAAATGTTTGTTGACCACATGACTGTTGAATTTACATGTATATACCTTGGTAGTAAGCTAAATCCTGTGTCTCCAATGCAGTGTGAAGGTAGACTAATCCAGATTTATTTCTGACTTTATTCAAATATACAGTTGTTGAGCTAAAAAGTTGTGATTTTGCTTCAAATTATATGAGTGTCACAATTTCTTATATACCTTTTCATCTGTTTAGAAGGTAGTTATGTAAAGACATACACACATATACATAGTGACCCTCACTCCATTTCATCATACCTTTCAGATCACACCATCTTCAACTCCATCCTCCTTTTTCTCTTTCCCTTATCTCTTCTACCCAAGTGTTCAGCCCAAGTGACTGTGGCAGGGCATGGTGTTCATTTTACTCTGGCCATCCCTGATCACCATGGCTAATCGGAAAGCATGCCAGCCTGCACCAGTCATTAAGATGACCCAAATTAACAGCCTGGCCATGTCACAGTACATTCATTCCACATATACAGACATGGCTTAAGTGTGAGGAAGAAACCCGGATGTGCTTATGTTTGCTTGTAATATGCATTATTGATTGCCATGTTCTGCTTTAGCACTTTAAATCTGCAAATGAGAATCATCTGTCAATTATTGCAGCCAGAATCAAGATCAGAGGTCTGCAGAAAAAATGTGTGCGCCTTTTTCTACCAGCATTTCCTTTCATTTGCCATTTTCTTCCAGTTATATTGTAAAGCATCTATGTAGAAATTCCCCAGCTCTTCGCTTAATCAGAATAGTTTTATATTCTGAAAAGAGAACTATATCTACCATAGGTAGATGAAAAAGGTAGTACAGTTCAGAATTGTGAGTTCAATGCAGGATTTTGTGATCCAGTTACCTTATGGATACTAGTCAGTAAACCAGCTTATAATCGAACACAGCCAGTCTTATCTCAGTCACAGTTGTGATTGTTGACACCTTGTAGTGCCTGGTGTAAATTTTATCCCCAAAATATTTGCATTCTTGATAACCACTTTTCTACAATGCTTTCTAATAATTAAAGCATCCTATTACCTGCTAAATGCTGGTATAAATTAACAATCCATTATGCACAATAATTTATATAAAACATTTACAGATAGAGATCATGTTTAATTAAAATTAACTTCCATATGAAAGCCAATGCACTAATGATTCACAATGACCTTTTATTACCTGTAGTCCCTTGTTTTGGCTGGATGATTGACAGCTTGCTGTTTGGCTACCATGTTGAATTTCAGCTGACAAGACTTTTCATTTTAACTCAATTTGCCCGCCTATCACAAGCTGGTGGCAGGCCAGACCCAAGTCACCCAGCTTTGCCTCAGCAGCTTGCTCTAGTTCTCATTAGTACGCATTTATTCAGTGGAAATTGGAAGACAAATGCTTGAAGGCATGTGAACTAAGTATAGCAAATTAGGTTTAAAGACTGAATATTTATAAGTGTATGGAAAGGTTTTTTTTTAATTCTAGAGCGAATTGAGAACTGAGTGCTAGCTTTGGTATAAAAGAAATGAAGATAGAAAGGGGATGATTCTAAGAATAACAATACTATAAGCTTTTTCTTTCCGTTTTGGAAATATGTAAAATCTCTCTGACAACACCTTATCAAATAAAAACCTGGCTTCTCTTTCACGGAATGCTTGCACAATGAAGTTTAGCACTTCATGTGTGAGAAGGGGGAAAAAAATGAGGGTCATGTTCATTTGTTGCTTGGTTATCCCTTGGTATGTTTTAAATTGCCTTGTTTGTTCGGCACTAGCACAGAAACAGATGTTGCTCTACCGTGCAGGATAATTTACTGTACCTCCTGGTGTAGCATGGACGTCCTCCCAGGGCCCAGCTGGTCTGTCAGTGGCATTGGCTGGTGTCTGCTCAACTATGACAACGACAAGTAGAGGCTGCAATGGGGTTTTTTTATTGTACAGTTGTCATTCTTCTCAATGTATATCTCTGCTCGAATTCATACTGAGGGTGTTGGAAAGCTGCTGGCTTTTGTGTCTGTATGTTGAACTGCAGGATACCATAGGCTTGACTCTCCATCGTTGATAATAACGCAGCTCATTACTTTTGTCATCTAATGATTATCGGCATGATCACTCTGAGCTAGAGCCAGTCTCGTCTTGCACACATAACTGGTACTGGAAGGTAAAACAGATTTGTCACTTACGATCTGACTGCTGAGCCACACTTTGAGCTCCATTATTGTGATTAACTTCTGCCTAAGGTATGCTTGCCCGGTTGTCATTTGTGATACTGTGGTGGCTGCAAGCTGCTATGCTCCCCAAGAGCACATCGGGCAATGGGGTGTGACCATTATTCAGACTGGTAAGTGCCTGCCCTGTTGCACCAGCTACCCCATCATTATTTTGCTTTTGTATTTTTTCTTCCCACACCTCTACTGGACTTGTTGGGTGAACAGCTCTGCTACATATGTCATCTACCACTTCGTACCGCAAGCGAAAATGATGCAATGCTGTTCTTGGTCCAGCAGGTCGGGCAGCAGTACATGGGAAGCCGACCCTTGCTTTTCACCATAGAAATGTTGGTTGTTGGTGTTCTGCCAATTGAAATCCATTGTGTCAGGTGCCTTGTGGCTATCTGCAGTAGAGTCCATGTTCCAAAACCAAACTTCTTTTCTGGCCTCATCATCAGCAAACCGATTTGACTCTGCCTGATTATAATAATGAAGTCAGTCCAAGAGAATATGCACAGCCTCACTGTACGTCACATTGAATCACTGCACTCCCCACACAGAGCTGACCGCAGCCTCATTTCTTTAGACAAATGCATGCTTAAGGAAAAACCTGGGAGAAGGCACCCAAAGCAACTTCATATCCCTATGCAAGCTGTGCATAGACTTAAAATTTACTGAAATAACATTTCTTTTTACTTTTTGTGGGATGCGAGCCTTCACTGATGGACCTGCCTTTAATAATCTAATAATAGGGTACTAGGTGTGTCACAATTTTGCTAAATACTTCCAAACCTGGCTCTTTGTGTGTGTGTGTGTGTGTGTGTGTGTGTGTGTGTGTGTGATTTCTAAATTGCAAGTCATAAACACAACCATTTCATTATCATGTGAGAGGGAGAAGGAAGCTCCATTTGGAGCTCTTTTTCACATTGCTGATTAGAAAGAATCAAGCTTTATATTCTACGACCCATTCACGCTGGTGGAAACATAGTCAGTTTTGATTATGAAGGGAGAGATGCAGACCTAGACAGGAGCTACACGCTGATATGCATGCTATCAGAATGATTTATGCAAATTATGCATATTATTCCCAAAGGAATTCCTCCTCAAACTGCCAGGATAAATTGCCGGAAATTAGCCATAAAAATCTGTCCTGCTAGGAGCAAAAGGTGAAGGCCACTGGGAAAGCAAGGACATTCAGCTTCTGGAATCTTCTAGGATATGATGGTAGCTGTTATTCTCCCTGCATGCTGCAGAAAATCTTTTTTTCTGAATCGTATAGACGTATTTTTCTTTTGAAATTTTTCCAGCAAATGCTGATTTACACTTTATTTACAGCCAGCATAAAAGAAATTAAGTGCTAAGCTGTCTCAGAAAGCACTACTACAATTACTTTACTATTAACTGCCTAAGTGGTTATTAAATGGCTAACCCTGTCTGAAGGCTGCTGAAATAATCCACCAGCAGTGAACTGTAAGTGGAGTATAGTTTTACTTTCCAATAGGTGTACCCTTAACACAGTATTTCTCTCTTGCAGATCATTTTCTCTTCTAAAAATCATAATCAGTGGCTATCTCCCCCCAGCACAGCGCTGCTGTGCTGCCTCCTACCTGTGAAATACTCCCAAGTTGTGTTGGGGTCAGGCTACCTATTCCTCACCTTGCCACCCACAGCCAACATCAGCTCCCTCTTGGGGCTCAGTGGATGTGATAAGAAATGGTTTCCTTTTCAATTAAGGCTATTAGTAATGAGCTTTAAGGCCCAACTGAGAGTACTTTTCACAAGCAGTCGTATTTCAGTGAGTTACTGTTTGTTTCTTTCAGAAAGCATCATTTTTGAGGCTCTTCGACTGTCCTCATATTCAAGCACTATTCGTTTTGTTGAAGAGGATTTTATTCTCAGTTCAGATACTGGTGACTGCTGTCTGCGAAAGGGAGACTTGGTAGCCATCTTTCCTCCAGCCATACATGGTGATCCTGAAGTCTTTGAATCTCCAGAGGTAAATAAGCATCCAGCCAATTACTGGTCATTGCTAATTCTTAGACATGATCAGCACATTCCTCTTCTTTATAACTGCTCTCTTTTCCTCTTGCTACCTCATTCAAAAAGACATTTGGTAATTTCTGTTATTCCTTCTGATCAGAAAGTTTACCTCTGTTCTGGTTGTTGTTTGTCAGTATAGGTGAATGATCCCAAGACCTTTGCACTGAGCTACATTCCCCACTTTTTTTTGGAGACAGGGTCTCATTAAATTGCTAAGTTTCCCAGACTGGGCTTAAATTTATGATCTTCCTGCCTCAGCCCCTCATAATGCCAAGATTACAAGTATGTGCCACCATGTCAAGCTTAAGTTTTCCTCTTTTTCTGAAGTATTTTGTAAGAATCCATCTTGAAATGCATCTACTGAAATAGAAATACTGTGATAAGTCTAAACACTATTTGATTCAAATAAACTGATAATTTTACCCTGACCAGCAATACTTTTAGCACCAAGGTTTATTTGGGATGGCTAGCCATTGAGAGATGGCACGGAAAATAAGTAACTATTTTACTAAGTATTTTCAAAGTGGAGTTGATTCTCCCAAAGTCAAATAACGTTGTTGCTATAGTTAAGCCCAAGTACTTTTTCACTAAAGGTATGCACCCCTTCCTCATCAATTAGTATGCCATTATGAACTTGAGATTGTAAAGCTGCTGCTCACGGGTAAAACTCTGAGGGTAATTGTGTCATCTCCTTGTTTTTTTTTTTCTTTTTTTTTCTGAAGCTAGAGTTAATGAATATCAAAGACTGGAAATTAATCCACCCTGGTTCATCCCTTAATACCACTTCAGAGACTCACCACCTGCATGCAAATTGAGTGCAGTCATATTCTGCCCATCCTCTCGTGAAGTGATGTTGTTGCAGCAGTCTTTGAATATACAGTGCCTTTTTACAAAAGAAAACTTCTGTGCCCTTTTTGACCACTTTTAAACCCAGTTTCTAAGTTAGATGTTTTGTAGCTCATATGAACTACAATTATTATTGAATTTTCAAATGAATAAGAGAACAAGCCAGATATAATAACATAAATTGCATTTATTTCATTGGCAACAGAAAATAACTTGTTATGGGGAAATGAATGTGTTTTCTATGCATTTCAGAAAGAGAGGCGTTTTATGAATGACGATCGCATATAGGACACAGAGTATTACTGAATGAAAATTCTACAGACCACAAGTTTTACCTCCATATTTGTAAATATCAAAAATATATTCCACTCAAAGTAGACAAAGTAGACATTTGCCTTAGCATAAGGCAAATGAAGACTTCATATCTAAAAATAATGTTAAATTTAAAAAGTTTTATTTCTACCTACAGTTTTTATTAAATTTCTACTATTTACATTGTGATTGTTCCACTATTCTTTAGGTTTACTAATCATGTCATGAAAGTGAAATCAACATTAAAGTTATCAACAAGTACTCAGATTTTACCAGGTTACCACTGTCTATGTCACTAGTTCCCATGTCACTCCACCACCATGATAGAGAAGATCTTCATTTAGAACTTCAGAAATTTAAAAACCAAAGATAAAAATTGGAAGTGTTTAAATTTACTCTTTCGTGTCGATTACAAAATGGCAGTGCCCAAACTTTGCATAATAAATCAACCAATCTTTATAGCAGTCAGAAAGATGTGCCTCAGTAAATTAGTAGAACAAAAATTGCAATATTCTGGACACTTAGCATCACTAGAGTAAGTCTAACTTGAACTGATGAATGCTTTATTATTTTCTAGATTTAACACTAACCAATTTGTGCCTGGCTAATGTAAAAATTAATTAGCTAATTTTTTTGCCTTGGTATTGTGCTCTTGAAATTAATTGTGGAATATTGATAATCCCTGGCATAGAAAAAAAGATATAGTTAAAAAACACTTTTATATAATTTGTCCAACTGTCATCATTTAGTCTGTAAACATTTACTAAGTATTGACCTACCACTCTAATCCATATAGGTTTATCCCTTAAATCCTTTGGTTCTTGAAAACATAAGATATTGATAAGTAGATGCTGCTGATACTCATATAACAGCCAACCCAAACTATCGTATGCTTATAGAAAAGAGGAAAAGAAAATTCTGGAAAATCCCACTGGGAGCCATTTGTTGCGGAGAGCATTGGCCTAGGAGCTCAACAGGGACTCATATTCATCTCTACCAGCCTTTTGTATTCTATAAACTTGCATGAAAACCAGGCCTTAGATGCAGAAAAAAAACAAAACAATAGCTGTTGGACCAAAAAATGAAGAACACTAACTCTAAATATAGGTATAGCTGTTTTTGGAGAACATAGAGAATAGTCTTAGCAGAATGTGTTTCCTGCTAATACACAGGGGGATGGTTTTAGCATATCTGAGTTCCACAACTCTAGAAGACTGCATTCCAAAACAAGAAGTCATCCTTCACATTTTAGGGACTTTGCATCCACATCTTTCTATTCCTGAAATTTCTCTCCTTATTTATCTATCCCTGAAATGTCCCTCCTTCCTTATCCAGCAAACTCCAAGTTCTGCACAATAATCACCTTAGTCACCTCATCTTTGATGTTTTCCCTGATTCCCACCTCATTCCTAAGAATTTGTCTTTTTCCACCCTGAGATATGTGTATACCTTTGTTATAGTGAATACCCTAGTACTTCAGTGCCCCCCTTACAGGAATCTATCCCTGTGAATTGAATACATAAAAGGATGCGAGGATGGATAAATATACTGCAAGTGAAAATACGCCAGTTAAAACTTTAAATCAGCACAGTTCACGCAATTCAAATATTGCTGTAATAGGTCAAATAAAGTGGATTTTGTATGAATATAGTAATATTATTACGGATAGTAAGAGCTATGTGGAAAGAGACCCCAGAAGGTATTTAAATGAGACCATTGGATGCTTCAGAAATAGCCCTCAGCTTTTGAACTTCCTTTGGTCATTTTGAATTTTTTAAAAGAACTTAAGAAACAGATGGGTAAAGTTTTGAATTTAAAAAAATTTTTAACAATAAAGTTTAAAATAACATGAGATAAACAGCAGACGTTTTAATATCTAATTTGGCCTATAAATTACCAACATGAAATTTCTGTGTTACAGATTATCCTTTTGCCAAATATTGATTGCTAAATTTATTGTAACATTAAGCAGTCAGGTGGCTCTTGCCAATGTGGAAAAACATATTGATAAGTGAAATTTACAATGAGAGTTAGAGAAAAAGAAAAAACCCATCTCAACTCTTCCTTCTTCTTTTTAGAAGTATATATGCTATTCATAAAATCTAGATAACCTATTGAATAGCTAGGAGTGTATAGTTTTTTAAATTTTTTGAGGGCTTCCCCAGATTTACAGATATTATTACCAGAATGCATGGACCTGGGTATCAAATAGACAGAAGTAATGGTAATGATTTATTTTCTGTCAAAGTACAGTGGCCGGAGTGGCCAGAATTGGAGCTGTGGAGAAGACCAAACCAGCTGATTCATTCTCCTACATCCAGAAGTGCTAAGGGCTAATCAGAGTCCTGGTGACATTATTGGTATGCAGGCAAGAAACAGCAGACATTTAAAGTGGCACTGCTTTATCATCACCATGCAGCCTCATAAGCTCAAGGAAATACAGTGAAATTACAAACCTTTTGGAGTATCCTCTTAAAAGCTCTGAAGTTGAAAGTTCTTGTTTAGCTTCATGCAGTTGTGTCCTATCAGAGTTGTAGGAATAATAAAATAAGTGAATTTGAAAGTCCTTTTAAAAATTCTAAACAACTGTAGGAGATTATGGTATTATTTTATTATCACTATTCTTTAATAGACCAGTAATTACAAATAAATTTTTGTTTGTATCTCAAACAGGAATAGACCTGGTGTCAAACCTAGACTTCAAGGAAACAAACATATACGGAGCAGCTACTGTCCCAAAAGTAATTTGACAGGCATAATGGGTGACACAGAAATAAAAAGGTCTCTATCCATAAGAGCCTACAGGATAGGGCAGTGGTGGCCAACCTATGGCACATGTGCTTCAGCAGGCTGTTTGTATCATTGAAAGCTCTAAAGATTTGCCATCACTGGTATAGTGATTCAGTCTTATCACATGACTATTTTCTCATAGCCAGATGCTTCATGTGTTGAGGGTTTCTTCCACACCAGTAAATTGGTACTTCCTACCAACCATATTGAAACCAGTGCCCTGGGAAATAAGAGCTTTGAAAAGCCCCAACTTGTATCATTTCTGAATTTTCATGGTATAAATACTATAATGCTTGGTGGATTGCACATTACCAAGAGGAAGACCCTGGGCATAGCATTATGAAGAGATGTGCACAAGTTCTCAGAGGCTGGTACTAGCCAGCTGCAGCTCATGACTGATTTGAACCCACCTCATGAAGATAAAAAGGGACTTCTGTATTTTGTCATTTTGCCCCAGGAGAGCTGTAAACCAGGTGCAGCAATGCAGCCTTTTAGTCATCCATTCTAAACACTGACAGATTTTGTTCATTATTAGGAAGTTATATCCTTTGTCTAACTCAGATTCCTTTATCCAAATTATGACCTGAGTGGATAATATCATGTGTCACTTGCCTCACCAGAACCATGCTAGCTGAACTAAACTAATAATATTTGGAAAACACAGACCAGGATGTTATACACTCTTCCTCTGTCACATATACCAAAAATTGTCCTCTATTCTGAAAAATATATCCTTCACTCAATTTTCATTTCAAGTGCTTCAAGATTATAGCATTTCTACTATTTGTAAACACTAAATATTCATGAACTTCTCATTCTCTACATGTTTATTTTTCATTTAATATGTATGTTTCTTCACTCTCATGTATTTATTCATTAATTCAATAAATATATATATGGAACTTCTACTGTGAAAATAGCATTCTGTTGGAGGATTTGAAAACACAGCGATAAATAAGACAGTATGCCAGCTTCAATCTTCTGGGATTTCTTGGTGCTGCAGGTCCTATGGGTTACCTTCATCTTCACTCTAGTGGCAGCATAGCTACACCAATTCCAGACACCATATATACACGAGGTCTAGAGGAGGAAGCATAACAAACCACTTATTTTTACTTTTCTTTCTTCATGAGGAAAGAATGTCTCCTAGATGTGCCCACAGACTTTTCTTTTATAGTACCATTCTGATTGGTTCATACACCCTACCCTAAACCAGAGGCCAGAACAATGTGATTACCAGGATAGGTACATAGAAATCTCATGCAGAAGAATGATGCTGGAGAATCAGTTTGAAGAGCAATGGAGAATTTCAGTGTCTTACACCCTCTTATGATTTCTTTGTTCTCATTCATTTAATTGACCCTCTTTAATTGTAAAGTGTCGAGCTTATTATAGTCCTTCACTACAAAGGACTTAAGTCAGCAGGATGAATCCTGAGTTTAAGTGGATCCAAATTAATCATCCTGAGCTTCTTGATGCCTTGTTTTGCATCACTATGGCCCCCAAATCTCAGCAGTGAGATTATAATATCCCTTTCCTTTTTTGGCTAAAACCAAACAAAATTCCTTGTGGAGGCCATAGGCCCTTACTAATAGTGATTAGTAAGAACCTGTTCAGGTTCTGTAGGCCTGGGCAATGAAAAAGCTGAAAATATATTTGGTAAAAATGTATTTCTTTCCATGTTATGATGGTCACAAAGCAAAAGATGTTGGTCATTTCCCTTTTAGTTTCACAAAATAAATGGCAAAATAGAATGTTTAAAATGTTTATTATGGGGAAGTTAAATAGAAAGTGGGCATTATGTGTTCACCACTGTGCCTCTCAGAAGACAGCCTAAAAGCCATGAAAGGTGCTGGCTTATTTATGTTATGAGGACCCTATGAAATCCAAACCCCCGCTGTTTTCCTTTTCATTTTCTGGCTTAAACTATCATGTGACTTTGTGTGACAAATCATTTCACAGCTAAGTTCACTTAAACTGGTTTGGCCTAGCCAGAGAGAGCACTTGGGGAAAGTGCTGATCTGATTAGGTTGGGAGAGAAAAGGAGGAGGTATCAGGACTAAGCTTAGGCAAGCCTTCTGGGCCCCAGTAACAGAAACTCACCAGATCTGAGCTCCTCTTAGTAACCCCTTCTCCAGAGGAGTGCTTGTGAACAGAGGGTGTCCTCATCCCTTACTGTAGGATGAACAGATAGTTTTTGTTTAGCACTGGTTAAATACTCCTTGAATACTTCCATAACTGTGGTAAAATACATTTATGTTGTAAAGGGCTCAAAGTACTAATTTTTCAGAAAACAAAATAGTTACCAAAATGCAGATTAATTTTCCCATTATCATTGCATCACCTTGAAAATTGCAGCTTTTCTAAACTCAAATATTTATCAAAATAAGTATTCTAGGTATGTGAGGGTAAAACCAATGCTACTAGAGGAAATGATTCACCGACATTAACAATACTGGGACTGAGTGAGAAAATGAGATCATTTTTGATAGATTCAGAATTTATTCATGTATTTTAAAGTTTTCACCATAACTGAAATGCTTTGGCTCTGACCTACTTATTTGCACTGTTTTCATATGGTTTATAGCAAAGTTGTGTGCTGAGCAGATCTAATGCTAATGAGCACCAACTACGGGAAATACATGGTCGTTTTCATGTGAGCCATGAGCATTAATTTAATCAATGGTTTAATTCACCATGGGCTGAATTAAGGTCACTCAGTCCCCTCTAAGAAACTTAAGTGAGAGTTGAACATGACCTTTGCCACTGTGGCAAAATTAAGATGGCAGGGCAAACACCTTAGATAACCAGTCTCATAATTTTCTGAAGCAAGTAATATAATTTATTTGTGAAAATATACCAGAAATACTTGCTACCCTAGATTTAACTCAAAGAGAGTTCACTGGAATAGAAATTTCATATAATAAATCCTTTTCAACATCAAAAAGCAAGCAAATTTCATTTTGTGGTATAAGTTCTCTCTAATGCCTTATCTGAATCTTATATTTTATGTTCATTTAATCTAAACATACACAATCTTAAACTTGTGGTCTTCATCCATCAGTAGGTGGTTGTAAAGGGCTTAAAAGAAAAGCAAATTAATGATCCATAGGTAGGCAGCTCCTGTAGCTCCTAGGAGTTATCATCCTGTAATAACAGTGGCAGCACCACTGGATCCCCCTACCCAAAATTGGTGTAGCAAGGGCTGATATGTCAAGATCCATGTTGAAATTTGATTGTCATTTTGACCATGTTGGGAGGCAGGGCCTTCAAGGGGTAATTAGATCAGTAGGAGAGATTAAGGCCGTTCTCCTTTTTTCTGTGACTTCCCACTCTCTTGGAAGTGGATTAACTAAAACAAGAGAGGGTTATTATCAAGTAAGGCCACTCTTCAGAGTTTCCTTCTTCCAAATGCACCTACTTGCCCTTCCACTTTCCATCATAAGATGAAGCAGCACCATACTCCCGGACGAACCTCTTTGGTTCATCTAGTCTCTGGTATTCTGTGATAACAACAGAAAGCCAAATGAGACCTTAGGAGGGGAGTAGGAAAAGGGAAGAGGAGTCGTATAGGTTTGGGGGTTTCACTTGGCTATGGGGAAGTAATTTCCTAGTAGCATTTGAGTTTTTTGAAAGTTTATACATGATTTGTAAATAATCAAGGTTTCTTTTCCAGCATCTGATCAAAAAGAGCTTTTAAGGCAGGAGAACTAGCATGTGAAATTTTAATACTAACATTGTCTATTCTTCCTTACAGGAATTTAGATTTGATCGTTTTATGGAAGATGGTAAGAAGAAAACCACTTTTTACAAAAGAGGGAAAAAGCTGAAATTTTATCTAATACCTTTTGGATTTGGGGCCAACAAATGTCCAGGCCGATTTTTGGCAGTTATGGAAATTAAACTATTGTTGCTTGTATTATTAACTTATTTTGACTTAGAACTAATTGAAAACAAGTCTATAAAACTAAAATACACACGATCGTTTTTTGGTATTCAGCATCCAAACTCTGATATTTTATTTAGATATAAACCAAAATCTTAGAGAAGCTAAAAGGAAAGAAAGAGACCCATCAAAATGAATCTAAATATGTTAAACTCCTCTATTAGTTTTTAATTCTGCAAATGTAATTGCTATATTTAAAGTTCCAGTTAATAGTTTATCTAAGATCAGGTTCAGTTTGTACTTGGTCACAAAGCCTATCATAAAACAAAACAGGATGGTAGCATAAAAATAGACATCAAATCAACTTCATGATGATAAATTCAAAAAGGTTTTTGGGGGGGAGTTCTACTTATTGTCATTTTCACTTGTTATAATAAATTTACCTTCACAGCAATAAATTTGGTACTGAGGGATTTTTAAAAGTCATTCAAATTCTTCTGTCATATATATAAGTACATTTTATGTACTTTTGGAAAATTGTGCTGGAAAGAGACAGAGTCTAACAAATTTCAAATTCTCAGAGAAGAAGGAAATTAAATTTCCATGAAGTGTACTGGATGAAAATGTTCCCTTAGAGTGTATTGCCAGTGTGTGTATTAAATGAGTTTTGCAGTAGATTAATTACAACTTCATTCCATTATTTAGTCATCCATACATGCTCTTTATTACTTTGTATACTATGGCTCAATAGAATGAAATTTTATGTTATATAACACCTCTCATGTTCACTTTAGATATTGATAAGATTCAATGTATAAGAAAACCCAAAACCTAGTATATATTCAGCAATTGATCTTGACATTAGTATTAGCTTTATTATAGGAGCAAATGTTGAAACCTTTGACTGTAGCATAAAATATGCTGTAATATAAAATATAAGCGTTATGCCAGTATTACACTGAACCTTTTACTAAATTCTTTCACTTATAAAAGTCAAGATATTAGATAGCAGTATTTGTTCTTGAAATCTCACCTTTTGGATTTAGAGTTTATTTGTGTATCATTTTTTAATTGTAGCATTGTGTAATGCAGTAAAATTTCATATGACATGATGAAATTTCTTATATGGATCACCAAGGATTGACATTTAATGTAAATATTGTTACAATATGTAAATAGACAAGGCAGGTAATTAAGCCCAGTTAATTCAGAGGCATCAACTGAAAATTCTGATAGTTCAGAAATTTATTAGGTTTTTTTTTAAAGAAATTGATTTATAGTTAGAGATGACGAGAAACTAGAAGGTAGACCTTTAGAAATGGGGATGAGGATCACAGAGAGGAGAAAAGGAAGGGAGAGGGAGATAAGGGGATTAAAAATGACCAAGACATGTTAAATACGTGTACCTCACCATTCTGTATTAATTATATACACGAATAAAAGTTGATTTTTAAAACAATATTGAAAATATTTATTGTAGTTAATATATTCTAGGATTTTTTTTGCCTTATTGAAGTACTTGCTTTGAATGCTCCATTATGAAGGTCTGCTTGTAAGAATTCTGTTACAGAATTCATTTGATGATTAAAAGTGCTTTACTTCCACCCTCATTATTTTTACTTTTTAAAATTTATAATCATATAAGTTTATGGGGTATAACATTGTTATGATTATGAATACAATGTGTAATTATTGAATCAAGCCAGATAACATATCCATCACATCAAATACTTATCATTTTTTGTCATAAAAACAGGTAAAATGTCTTAGCAATTTTGAAACATACAGTACAGTACTGTTGATTACCTTTATCATGCTTTGCCATAGAACTCAAATTTTTAAAAAAGATAAAGAAAATTTATTCCTTTTAACAGAGATTTAATAGCTTTTGACCATCATCTCCTCATCTTTTCTATGCTCTAGCCTCTATACCTTCCATCCTGCTTTCTGCTTCTATAAGCTTGATTATTTTGGATGAGTGAGAACATGTGGAATTTGTCTTTCTGTGTCTAGTTTTATTTCATTTAGCATAATGTTCTCTCCATCCAGGTTGCAAATAACAGAATTAATTTCTTTTTAAAGGCTGAATGGTACTCCATTGTATACAGCTGTCACATTGTCTTTATACATTCACCTGTAAATGGGAATTTAGATTAATTCCTTAACTTGACTTGTAAATAGTGCTTCAGTGAACATGACAGCGCAGATGTCCTTCAGAAAACTGACCTCAGGTCTGTTGGGTAAAAACCAATAGTGAGATTACTGAGTGTCCTCTTCCTTTGTTTTTCTCTTTTCTATTTGGATTTTTTTCAGATCATTTTCTGTATTAATACATAATGTTTGTATTCCTTGTGGGTAGTTGGTACATGTACAAAACACATCTTAATTTATTTTCTCATTCCCTTTCCCCTTCCTCCATCTGGTCCTCATTCTTAAAAGGTGGTTTTGCTGGGTGCACAAGTCTAGGTTCATGGATATGACCTCCTAGCTCTTTGAAGATATTTCATGTTCTTAATGTTTCCATTCTTATTATTGAGTGGTTAGCAGTCAGCCAGCTTAATTATTCAGTATGTAGTCTGCTGCTTCTATTTTTATATGTCCATTTTGTCTTTGATGTTCTTGTTTCTGTTGATCATGCTTGCATTGCATGTCATGTGCTGGTTCTTAAATTTGAGAAAAAGTCAAGTATGGAATATTCTTAGCCATTCTCTCTTTGAATATTACCTCTCTCAGACTCTACATTAGATCTTCTCACTGTATACTCCACGTCGTGTGGCATTTTCTCCTCATAGTTTTTATGTCTAACTTAAATTCAGAGTAATTTTTTTAGATTTGTCTCCCAGTTTCTTTTAGGATAGTATATCTAATCTGCTCTTTAAAGCCTCCATTGAGTTTGTTTCTTCCTTATTAATTTTAATCTCAGGTAACCATTTTTCTTACATGCTTTATGTGGGCAATTATAGTTGGCCCAAACAAGCCCCTTCTGACTTTATTTACTTATTTTATTTTATCCCTAACTCCTAGTTGATGTGTACCTTTTTATCTGTATGTTTTTATAACACATATGTGATTATTTTGAGCGCATGTTTTTAATTTACATAAATATATTATCCATAAATCGTATTTTTCTCAGTTTTCTTATTAAGCTTTAGGTCTTTAAAGCTACTGCATGTTGTTTCATACACATTTAGTTTTTTGATGTCCACTTGCTGTGTTTTAATGCTGTGCTCACCCAGTGATATACACTATGTCAGTGGGGCAGTTACTGTTGGGGTGAGGCCCAAGGCAGAACTTTAAAACCCCTCCCAGCCTCCCACTATGGTGCCCAGCCAGCCTCAGCCTGGGCTACCATAAACCCTGTCTCCAGTTACCCCTACCTCACACACACACACACACACACACACACACACACATTTAGTCTGTGCCAGTCTTCATAAATTTCCTTTATTTTTGCATTTATGGTAGGATTTTGTTTTGAGGTTTTCCTTATCAAGTGAGTATAAAGTTTTCAAGTCATTTAGGATGAAAATGGACATGTAGAAATTAACTTAAAATTAATTTTCTTCTTCTGTAAAGTCTACCTCTTCATCTTCATCATCTTCTGCATGTTGATCCTTTCTTAATCAACAGGTAGATACCTGTCCTGTTCCAGATCACTCTAAGACTTTCTAAATTTATTATGTTCTAGTCTCAAAGACATCTGATGCTCTCTCTTGTGTGGGGTCTGCACAGATAACTGAGTCAGGATGCCAGCCTCCAGTTGTCAGCCTTTTAGTTTTCCATTTACTTGAGCTGGCTAAGTTCAGTGATTACCACTTTCATTTTGACAATTCTCATTTGTTCTTCATTTTTTGTCATTTTTTATATCTTGTTTCCTCATCAGACCCTCAATAGGAAGACATACTGTGTATTCTGTAGCTAGTATTTCTAATTCTTTGGTGTTTTGTGAATCTGATTCCATAGTTTTGTTTTGTTGTTGTTGCTATTGTATTTTTTTTCCTTTAACTTTTCTTGGAATAGTTTGATTTTTGAGCCCACATTCCTTGGAATTTCATCTCTAGAAGCTTTTTTAAGACCTGGGTTAAAAGTTCATTCTTCCAGATGGAATTTCCTTTTGTCTGACTACTGAGGTTATCAAAGTTGTCATATGAAATTTTCAACATGACCATAGAGAGGGAGAATGATCATTATGTAGGTATTGTGAAATTCATTCCTAGATCAAGTTGTCTTAGTTACTTTCTCATTGCTGGGATAAAATACCTGACACTCTCAAGTTAAAGAAGTAGTTTATTTTAGCTTACAGTTTGTAGAGGTTTCAGTCCATAATTGGCTGGCAAAGCAGCATGGCAGAGGAACATGGCAGAGGAGTAAGAGCAAGGCAGGCAGGAAACAGAGTGCCAGCAAGGAAGGAGGAAGGATCTATACACCCAGGCAGTCCATGCTCTCAGTAACTTGTCTCTTCCCATCAGACTTTACCCCCCAACGTTACAATAAAGCCATAGACTCATCAGTCGATCTATTCAGTATCACACACCCATGATCCAGTATCACACACCCATGATCCAGTCACCTCCCAAAAGCCCCACTATGAGCCCATGAGGCTTTGGGGGGACATCCAGCTCTAACCCATAACACAGGCAGAATGCACGTCATCGATAGGAATATACAGGAGGCATGCTTGTTTGTCCCACTCAGAGACAAGGCTGAGGCAGGCAAAGACCCTGAATCTCCAACCTGGCTCTGTGGAGCAAAGTTTCTTTCAAGTCCACCTGGTAAGTCTGTCGGCTCTGCAAGTTCTTGGCTGTGCACCAGGGTTTTGGATCCCACGCATGCGTGTGCACACACACTCTTGTTCCCATCATGAGCCTTAGGCTCACCTCCTGCCCCTCAGAAGCATAATTCCTTCACTTTGTTCTAGGACATCTATTCCCTACATTGCCTGAAGCAGAAACCTCTATTCTCTTAAATTCAACTGCATAGTACACTTTCATGATGTCACAGCAGAAAGAACACATGAAAAATTGTATTCTGACTTCTATTCAATATACAATTAGAAGTATGTATATGAATTTAGAATAGAAAATAAGTATGAAATGGTGGAGAAAATATTACATAAATGAAGTTGACAGTAGAACCAAGACAAAATGAGAGCCTTATCGAATCTAGTGTTTGTGATTAGAAAAAAAAATCATGAAGAATTAAGTAAAAAGACATGGATTCTACCTGTGACATAACTGGTTTGTTATCATCAAGTCACTTTGCTTCTCAGTGCTTCATTGTGCTCATTTGCAAAATAAAAATAATAAGGCCTTTCTGACATCTGTTATAATTAAATAAAAATAGTTACACATGTGAACTTGAAAATACAAAGCAACATACAATTGGAAAGTTTAAAGAGATATTTAAATTATTATATACGTTTGAAATTATTCTTATGTACTTTAAAGAGAATAATTTCAGAGTCAGTAGTTAATTCACTATTAATTTATTCAACCAAACATTAATCAAGCATTTTCTCTATTCTAGATATGATACTATGCACTGCGTTATTCGTCCCTTCAAGAAGACACAATTTATTAGGGAAAAAACACACATACAACTAATTTATTGTGAGTGTAGTTGTAAGTAATAAATTTATCTCTTTAAATTCTGATTTAGCACTATTTCTAAATCATCCATCAGACATTTCAAAATAGTGTTCTATAATGATAAATTACCAAATGTAATCACATATATACACTTATATGATAATATAACAAAAATAACCAAAACCAATCATTGAAGCTCTAGAATTCTAAAAAACTGCTCCATATGGAAACCTCTTTTATTAGAGTGTTTGCAATACATAATAAGTACATTCATCATGAGGAATTAGTAAATATATATGGCATCTTTATGCTTTTTACTTTCCATTTTCCTCCAATCCATCCCATCTCCACAGAGCCACTTCTCCGCACATCCCATCTGTACAAACTGTCTTTCTGTTTCCTATCATGTTTTGCTCTTTATATTATTTATTCTTTGGATTTCTCATATAAGAGAAACCGTGTGATATTGAACCTTTTGTGTCTTGCTTATTTCATTTAGTATTTTGGTCTCAAAGTGCATCTATTTTTCTACAAATGACTCAAATTTGTCCTTCTTTGTGGCTAAGTAGTACTTCATTTTATAAATTGTTTCTTTTTTTTTTGGTACCTGGGATTGAACTCGGGTCCTTGCTTTTGCTGTAAATTGTTTCTTTAGCCATTTATTTGATGATGGACATAAAAGTTATTTCCAAGATTTAACTATTATGAGTTGTGCTGCTGTAAACATGAGAATCATATATCATTGTAATGTAATGCCTTTAACTCTTTCAAGCACATACACAGAAGAGGTATACCTGGGTCAAAAGAAATCTCTATTTTTGAGTTTTCTTAGGAATCTCCATACTAATTTCAATAGTGCTTATCCTGATCTATTTTCTTACCAGCAATGTGGAAGAGTTCTTTTTCCCTACAACTTATTTAATATTTGTTGTTTTTTGAGTTTTTGATGGTAATCTTTCTTTTTGGAGTAAGATAGGATCTCAGTGTTGTTTTGATTTGCATTTCTCTAATGGCCAAATGTGCCAAACACTTTTTCATTCATCTTTTGGCAATTTGTTCTTCTTTTTCTTAAACTTCCACTCATTTCAATTGCTCATTATTTGATTGGGTCTTTTATTTTGGGGGATCTAACTTTTTTAGATCATTATATAGTCTCGATATTAGTCTACTGCCTGAGTAGTTGGCAAAAAAAAAAAATTCCCATTCTGTAGGTTGTCTCTTTTCTCTATTGATTGTTTCCTTTGCTGTGAAAAGCTTTTTAATGAGATAAAATCCAATTTGTTGATTCTTGGTGTTATTTCTTGTGCCATTAAGGTTCTGTTCATAAAGTCCTTGCCTATGCCTATCTCTTCAAAATTTTACCTATTTTATCTTCCAGCAGACTAAGTGTTTCTGTTTTATATCTAGGTCTTGATCTATTTTGATTTGATTTTAGTACAGGGTACAAGTAGGGGTTTAGATTCATTGTTCTACATGTAGATAACTAGTTTTCCCAGCTCTGTTTGTTAAAGAAGCTCCACCATTTTCTCCACCATATGTCTCATCTTTTTATTCCTACAGCTTTGCCTAATTTTTGAATTAAAGGAAAAAATAACCAAGGTATTATTTTATATCAATGAGTAATAGTAACAATGCTTCTGATCAGTTAGTGGAAGCTAAATAGACACGCTGATGGAATTTTTTAAAAGCCATTTATCAATAAATAAGACAAGTTGATAAGCAACCTATATGGGAACTCTTATCTATCTTATTTTTGCTTTTCTAGAAAATTTCATTATATCTCCTCCGCTGTATCAAGTTTTGAATCATATAGGGAAGAAAAGGAGTTTCCATGCTCAAAATTTACATGGTTACTTGTGCATATTTTTTCAGAGAGAATAATTTGAGTAACATTTCTGTTCAGCATGTTTTTTGTTTTGTTTTTGTTTGATTTGTTTTTTGGTACCAGGGATCAAACTCAGGACCTTGTGCTTGCAAGGCAGGTGCAGTGCCACTGAGCTAAATCCTGGCTAAAATTGATATTTTAAAACCCTTTGAAAATCAAGGCACAATGTTTAGCCAAATCTAGACTTTAGTATAAAAGAATGGCAATAATTATATAAAGAAGAATCCTTGTAATGTGCCCTTTTTTGGAGTAATGTGCCTTATTTTAACCTATTAAATTTGCTAAGTTGCAAAATATTATATTTACTTGCACCATGTTATTAGATGTTCATAATCACATACTTAGTTAGGAAAAAAAGATTATATGCCACAATTATATTCCCTGTAGCATTATTTTAAATTATAATAAGCAATCTCATAAAATTCTATAGTATTCATCTAAAACAATTCTTAATTAGTCTACTTCATATCAGTAATCATTAAGGGATCACTGAACTTTTTAGTTTAAATGTTTATTTTGTTAATACTGTTTTCTAGAGTAAGTTAAATTTGGTTCATGAAAAATACAAATGCACAATTTTAAATAAGTGATAATTAGCAATTTTAAATCGGGGATAATTTGTCATTGATTATTTTTTAGACAGAAAAGTGTTGTAAATTATAAAAAAACTATTGTCTGATATATTTGTCTACTGTTATCTTTTGATTTTTAAAAAAATGACAATTATGAATCTATGATTAAGCAAATTATTTTTTTAAATGTGTTAAGAAATGCAAGTATTTTGAAAATATAATATTTAATGTTCTTTATTTACAACAAAATTCAATAAATCAACTTTGACAGCACAAATGAATAATTGTTTCATTATTTCCCTGCTATAAATAAATTGGGTGACAGAAGACTTGATTACAAATAGGAATTATTTGGAAAATGATTTTGCTGCCTGAATACTCATACTTCTCAGTCCCTTCCTCTCGTATACATATATTCTTATTTTCTTATGCTTTTCCTAGAAGTATTAATTATTATATTCAGAATATTTTTCAGTATGTTTTAACTTAGTTGTTTATGTGTGAAGTAAAAGTAGATGCAAGAAATATTCATTAAGTTTGTATATTTTAAGCCAGCCAATCTGGCTGAGCTACAAGTCTTAATCATCACTATTATTCTGTGCAGAAAGAGATGTATAAGAGCCACAGGAAATAGGAGAGAGAGAATTTCACTGGATGTAGACTTTGTCTTCTGCAGCTTTCTTCATTTTACCATAGACAATGAAAAAGGCTGAGTAATTTTTGGACAGTATTCTATTCATTCATAAAACTGAAATGCAAATTGTAAACAAAGCATATAATACAGAATGCTGTTGATGAAAATGAAATGTGAATCTTTTAGTAACCACATACATATTTCACTGGGACAATTAGCTTTTCTAAAAATACTTGATGACTGACATTTTATAGGAACTCCCCTTAGACTCTGTGAGAAGGCTGCCAGGTGTTCCTGGGAGAAGGCAGCAGAAGCTAACCTCTGTTAGAAGGTGTTTCTCTGTGTTTGAAGTAGATAGTTCACACTATTTATTTACCAACTAAGGTAAATTGCCCTTTAAGTAGATGTTCTATGAAATAACTATCTTTGCTTTCAGTTTTACTAAGACATTTACAAAGTAAATAAAAACTTGCAGAAATTTCTGGAATTAGGATCATGTAAGTAATAATGTTCATTGGTTAGGATAGAGCTGGATAAAAATATACTTGATGGTTATGCTAGATTTTTGGAGTATTTTATATTTTTATTAGTTATTTGAAGTATATATAATGTTCTTGATTTCTAAATATTGATTTTTATAAGAAGAGACATGATATATTGCAAACTACACAGAAAATAACTGTTTAGAGATAGAATCATGAAGCATTTTATGTCTCTTACAGCAATTTGTGCTTATAGGAGAAACTAGAGGAATGGAAATAACAAGTAAAGGTATTACTACCTAATGATTCATCGTTGAGTCAGATTTAAATTTTGTGGATATAAAGCATGTACCAGTCAGAATTTTTTGCTTGCAAAAGATACTTACTTCTAGATAACTTTTATTTCTAAGAACTAAGAACTAGCCATTGTAGTTAACATAAAATGTATGTCATTATCACCTGACCAATAACTCAAACATTAACGAAAGCTTTTATCTTTTATTTTTAATTATTTCAATGAAATAATTGATTCCGTATTCTAAGAACTAACAAGTATGTTTAAAGTTTTATAAATATCTTTGCTTTATACTTTGGTATATTTTAAGAAGTATTTGAAATCACTAATACTACATGTGTAGTATTTCCTCAATTTTGTACAGTTAGTTATGCTTTTAAAAACTTTATTTTTAACTAAATTACATAAAAGTTATAAAAATACTTTTGATTCTTAAATAATGGAGAGGTCAGACTAAACAAGGCTAGCCAAAAAATTAAACTAAGGAAGGGTCCTAAGACTTAACTAGTTGGAAATATTCAGTAATCCTTGACCTTTAGCAATGATCATTTACATCTATTCCATAGATAAATATACTGTAAATAACAATTGAATGGCTGACTTAATTTGAGTATTGTGTCACACATATCCTCTATAATTCATGTAATTGTTTATGCTTTTATAAAAATAATTTTCTAAATTGTACAGAGCTTAATTTGTTAAACAAATATAAATTTTTTAAAATTTCACTCTCTTGAGAAACCTACACTTTAAATATATTTATGCCTGATGCTTCTCCAAAAGAAAATTAAATAAGGTAGTAATTGGCCCCAATCCTGATACATCAGTCATTTAATAACTAGATGTCCTTTCCTCTTCCACGTTGTTTCCTGTTTCTGTAAAGACCTGCCTAAGAACATCATTTCCTTTCATGGAAATCTCAAATAAAGGGCACAGGCTTAGGACATATGAATTTTGACCAAAATACTGAATAGAGATTGTACATAGCAAATGTAGCTGTACTTACAGACAATGCATGATTTAATGTTTTGACCAGGTAGGTATATAATCTCAGTCTTTCCCATAATAAGGTGTTGTCTTCTTTTTTCGAAGAGTAGGTAAGGATATTTAAGAGAAAAATCCTTACAGCAAATTCTTCAGTAATTGCCAGTAGCAAAATGTATAAAAAGAGGTTAGGCCATGAAGCATTTTTATGTTTAAATCTAAATTGTCCTCTCTAAACACCTCTATTAATATAGCAGATTTGAGTTGGGACCATCCTCCTAATAAAAACTAAAATCTTTAATATTGAGAAACATTTGTAAATAATAGATCCTTTAAATATCCCTGAACTTTATTCTAAAACTTATAAGGAGAAATAATAATTGCTTTATATAACCAGTGATACCATTTTAACATTTGATGAAGATGTTAATTTATGGTTGGTTAGCAGTTTATGGCTGTCATTAGTTTTTCAGTTTGGTCCACATTAGAAATCTATTTTTCTTTTTTATTTTAATCTGAGACAATTATATAAAGATATGGTTATGTTTTATCTAAAATGTATCATTCTACTATAGCATTTCAAATTATTCACAGATCATAGTTCTTATATGTGCATATATGAATTTAAAAATACAGCAATAAAATGCTTGAAACAGGTCATAAATTTACTTCATATTTTATTGCATCTCTGAATCAGGTTGAGAAGACAAGGGCAACTGTGGTCTTTGGGAAAGAATTAACTCTTTCTCAAACTGGAGGAGAATGAAATCACATTGTGCCTCATTAAAGCCAGTGCCCCCATCGAAGCATCGTGGTGTCTTTTCAAATAGGCTTGTCCACCACTTATTAGTGGGCACAAGATGCTAGCTGGAAAATAATCTTTCCCTTCGCCAGCTAACCTTCCCATCCCAGCCATTTCCTTTCAAATCTCTTTAATCTGTATTTCTGTATTGCCTGAATTATTAAACACTGGAAAAAGGAGACAGCAAAAGTCTCTCACTCTCTTTCTCCCTCTCTGTCTCTCTCTGTCTCTCTCTCTCTCTCTCTCTCTCTCTCTCTCTCTCTCTCTCTCTCTCTCTCCCCCCCCCTCCTCCCTCTCTCCCTCCCTCCCTTTCTCAGATACCTAGCTTTGCAACAAGCCAGAAAAGTCTCCTGGATCACATTAAAATGAGTAACTTAGGAAAAATGATGGAATTTAACTCAAATCAAACTTCAAATGCAAGGAATGAGTTGCTCTGGCAAAATAAGAAAAACAATTCTTTGGGGTTTAAAATCGGGGCACTTTTTCAGAATTCCTGGGCTTGATGCTGTGCTGCATGGCAGCCTGGCAGCGTGAGCCCACCCCACCCCACTCCACAGTGGTGCAGGACACGCTAAATCCTAAGGACACCCTTAAAATAAAGTTCAAGGCATAGTCCCTCAAGTTTGTTCTCTGTCACAAGAAACTCAGAGGTTAAAAGGGCAACAGCTCTGGAAGCCAGGGCCTGAAAAGCCAGTCCAGAGGCAGTCCGGGGAGAAGGTGTACTCTGTGCTCCCTGTATCTCCGCAGGAGAACAGAACAGCACAGCACGGTGTGCACTCGTGCTGTAGACGGCTTTCCGTTTGTCTACAGCCCAAGGGTGGCCGGCCTACTGAGAGGCCTCCTCCTCCTTCCTCCAGCCTTGTAGATGACCCGTGCAAACACTTGCCCAGTACCGGTCCGAAACAGATTCCTTGTCGCCCTGCCTAGAACCCTGGTTCAAGTAACCAGATCAGTGAACCGCAAGAGCCAGGGATCTGCTGCGGTGACGAGGACTCTCATCCTGAAAGTTGTTTCTACTCTTAAACCGAAGTTACTGTCTCCTGGTTTTCCCACCTACTGTGCCTAATGTTTGATTTAAAAGGCCGAGTTTAAATCAACCCGCAGCTCATTGGCTTGGCAAATACAGGAGCATTCGAGTTATAAATGCCAATGCGGACAGCACCAGAGACAGGCTCAATTATTTTGCCAACACAACAAAAAATGTTAATTGATGTCAAGTTGCTTGGCACTTGAATAATTTAGTATGACCTGAATTTTAATTAAAATAAAACTTATGTATGTTTCTGATGTTTAGATTTTGCAATTTAATTTCGTAGAGAAGCTGCGATGCGTATTTGACACCGCCCCACCCCCACGCCCACATAGCTTCCCCAGTTGAATCACATTTTCTTTAAAGGTTTGACCGGAGAGCTTCTCCCGACCTGGACTCGCTACCTCTCGCTTCCAGGAGCGCACTTTCCCGATCTCCACTCGCTCCACCGGGCAAAGCAGCCACAAAGTGCTGCGAGCCGGGAAGTGAACTCTCATCATTATTTTTCAAAATCTAGGAAGTGTATTATCCCTTTTCCTAGTGGTAATTAGTTACCATAGCATCTAATACGTAAATGTGCCCAGAGCACACCATTAACAGTTAAACGGAGGATTCAATTTAACACATGATTATATCTTTCATAAGTCATTACATCGGAAAAGTCGATGCCACTCATCCTGGAGCAATCGCAGGGTTGGGGTCGCGCGTAGAAAAGGTCCGGTTTGGCGTCAGAGACGAAAAGTGAGTGGAAAAGGAAATTCGGTGAGCCTCTGTCCTCCCTGGTGAACTGTTGACTGTGAGGATGGTTAGTAGGGAAGACTGGAGGGAGAAAGATGTCAGTGTAATTTGGAGGCTTGGAGGAGTTAGTTACCCAGTTGCACTGCTGAGAGCGCACTGCAGAACTCAGGCTTATGCACCACCAGGAAAGGGAAGGAGGGGTAAGGGAGGGTAGCGGAGGTGATCATTTACTGGTACCATAGTGGGAAATGAAAAGCTGAAAGCTTCAGCTGATGCCCAGCCTCAAGTTGAGGAAAGGACCAAAGTGGGACTAAAGGCCAAGTGGAACCCTGGGTCCCAGTTCCCCAAGCAACCTGAGCAGCACATCAGCCCCTAAGCGGTGCACCTGGCAGCAGCACCCCAAATGCCCCAAGATACAGTGCCTGCCAGGGAAGGCATCAGGTTACCCTTTATACTCTGGCACAAGCTGCTGTCTTAGAGGCCTGTGCTGTCTTGTGGGGTCAAGGGCACTTGAGCAAAAGTACACTGAACCGCCAAGAGCTCAGTCACCATTCTTACTTGGGTGCTTCATGCGGGATGTAAGTCTGGGGCCATTTGTGTTTGGGCCAACTCTCCTGGACTAGGCAGAAACTCAGAAGAAAAGTGGCCCTGGGGCAGGGGTTGTCAGGAAGGGAAAGAGTTGTCTTTCCAAAAACTGCTATTGAAGAACTTTGGAAAGGTTGGAGTTAGGGCAGAGAGGGCCACACAAATAAATCCAAAGATCCCTCCCCTGTTCTTCCAGATGACCCAGGGTTATTCCTCCAACTATATTATGGCCATCTCTTGGGTCTGGAAAGAAGGCTGACTTGTCTGAAATTTTTGAAATGAAAATAAATATCATTAACCTTGCTACCTTTCATAGTTATACTTATTCATCTGACATTTCAATTTATCCTCACTTCCACTTCCCGTCCACACCCTCACCCACTTCCAGTCTCTTTGGACTAAGACCTGGAGGCCTATTGATTAAAGGGAGAGAGGAGGTTATTTTCTTTTCTGAAGTTCAAAATTTGTTATTCTGTTCAATTTCTAATGGTCTTTGAACTGTACAGAGGTTTTAGGGGAAGTATTTCAAAGAAGTCTCCTTAACAATGAGAAATATTAAGCAGTAAATCTTGCAGCAAATGTGTCCCCTACAATGTTAATATGCAAAAGAGAAAAAAAACCCCAGACTGGTGGTGGCTATGGTTAATTCCTAATCAGAATGATGGACAGCAGGGCCAGAACAATACAAACTAATGGCTGTGTTGCTGATCACTTTACCCCTTGATTAAAGACACCCAATTATGGCTCAGAACAGTGTCGTAATTATGTTTCTTAATCACATCCAGGAGGTTTAATTGCCTTAACGATGTGTTTCATTAAATGAATTTAGGTATTATAGTCGACAGTTTTCATACACAGTTGTTTTCAAATTAACATAATATTAGACATCGTCATGGAAATTGTTTTAATAATCATAATTAGACGCACCCAGGCTTTGTCTAGTAAATGCTGAGAGACAGGTCTCCTCCTGCCTGGGGGCTGCCCTGGTCTCTTTCCACTCTCTACCCTGACTCCCAGACTGGGAGGGCTCCAGCTTCAAGGCCCTTTGCTGTTATGTTTTCTGAAAAGTTACAGGTTCTGATTAATATTCTTTGATGGCAAGTGGAGCAGAAAATATCCTCCCTCACCCCCCACTAAGTTTGATGGCATTTAGGGATATCTTTATAAGCTGAGGCTACACATACAAAAATGCATTTAGCCCACTGGGTACAGAGGAATCACTGTAACTTCTTTACCACTATATCACCACTGTGGTCACCACTATCACTTCTACCTCCACTACAATACAGATTACACCTTCTATAATTGAAGGCAATATAAATGTCCAAATACAAGCATGTATATCCTTCTTTAGTAGAATCCATGCCCAACTCAATCCAAATATCTAAAAATTTCATTAACAAGTAGCATTTATGGCAAGCTCTGGAAATCTCTATAGCTATTATTTACAATAGTATATAATTCAACCCATTTGATTCTTTTGTCACAAAAAGTGACTTAATTAAATCAGTGATCAGAAAATTCAAATCCATCTCTTTTTCTTGGCCTTCAACCATTTGGAGTTAGGAATTTTGCTTAAGAACTTTAAGAAACTTTAGCCACTTTAGTGGCCTCTTGAATGGATACTGATGCCATACAGATGGAAAAGAATTTGAGAAGGACAGCATGGCCTTCTACGTTCATGCCAACAGCCAGGAACTCTGGACCTCTTCTGGGTCCCATCACGGACCCCATTCACCACTCTTTCCATGGCCAGGCTCAGCTACTGTCCTTTTAACAAGTAAACAAGTAAACTAGGGCTACTCTTAGTTATGCAGCCCTCACAAAACTTTAGTTCCACCTTCTCTGAAACTCCTTTCCTTTTTGTTACCTTTCAAGCAAAGAGTAACACAGAAAAGAGATTACTGCTTCCACAAAGCACAGCATAATAAAATGTTTGATCAAAATACTTTAATAAAGATTCTTTCTGACATAGATACACATACAAATGGTCATACATAGCTGTCATTGTCTGATTGACCTATTTAATATAGATATATAGATAGATCATTCTTTTACACATCCAAAGCCCACCAACAGATCCACCAGACCTCCCAACTCACCATCCAACCTGACAAACTGAATTTGTATTATCTGCAAGGAGCGGAAAATAGCAGGACTACCATTTTTAAAAAAGATTTTCTTGATTTTCATAGGATGGAAAGGCAGGCAAATAGCCATGCAAACTAAAACTGAAAGCTCACTTTGGGTAAATAGCTTCTTGCTCTTCCTCACTTTTATTTTATTTCTTTTTTAAATTTTTTAGAAAAATAACAAAAGGATTTCACACCATAGGCAAATCAAACCATCCTTTCAACTTAAATAATTCTCCACAGTTAAAATAACTTATATAGTACATATATATTAAAAGCAATTAAATTAGACCTTTTAAAAATGCATAGCACACCCTGGAAAAAATATTTGCTAAGCATGTTCTTACTTATATAGGAGCTATTGCTGTGATGTTTTTTCCCTTTTGGAATGCAAATCAGTCCCCTTTCAAAAAAGAGATCAATTAATTCATCAATTAAGAATACACCTTTCCTGTAATTTTTGGACTAAAGCAATTTATTAAAGCTCAATTTAAATACAGGGATGATGCAACTGAAAATTTCCAGGTGACCTTTCATAAACCTAAGCAGCTCAGATACATCAATATTTCTCTTCATACTTGTTGGCAAATAAACCTTTAAACACTTGGCACACAGTATAAGTTAATCTATAAAACAGAATTTTAGAGGCATTAAAAAAAATCTGCACAGAAGACCCATGACCTTAACACATGATAAATACTGCTGATATGGAAGGGTCATTGAAGAATAACAAATAAATATCATGAATTGTTAATACATCATTGCAGAGTTGAAAGTAACAAGGTGCACATAAATATTTTTAAATGCAATTCTTTCAGCCACAGTTTTTCATATCACTCTCGCCAAAACTTTGAGCATTTCCACGGGATTAAAGTTCAGAGACAATAAAAAATACAAGTCTTTCATAGCAACATGTCTCTCCCCCCACCCCCCGCATTTAAATAAGTCCTCATTTCAAGTTTGCTCCTGGCTCAGAATCAAAATTTATTTTCAAGTGCCCTTTCTGATTTGTCTGAATGAATATTCCTTCCCACCTGCCTCCCTGCCCTGGACTCCTCTCCCCCTCTGTACTAGCCAAATTCACAGTTGTTAGTAGGATTAGTATTTTGCCATTCAATACTCTCCAAGCTTAATAACCAAGCACTGCTTCTCAACTTTTTTTCACCTTTAAGGAAAACTCCGCGTCCTCGCCATCTAGGCTGCCACCAAAGTTGCCATTTTTCTGAGAAAAGCAGACAACCATACTCGATCCCAACTCCACCTCCCTCCTCCCTCCCTCCCCACCCCAAAGACCGAGATTCTGGGGATGTCCAGGCTAAAAGTCCTGCTTGTCTCTGATACTTCGCGGTTCTTGCCTCTGCTTTTGTTTGCTCTACAAGTGCTTCACAACTCCGAGAGAACCAAAATAAAAGGGGCGGGGAGCAGCTTTTCGCTTTCCTGTAGCTTTTGGGCCGGTCTCGTGCTTTTCGGGGTGTGTTTAAGGCTTCTCCGTGCACTGTTTGCAGAGGCTGGAGGAGACGCTGTTGAACAGGGCGCACTTTTCTGGGCAGGAGGCGGCGGGGGGCAGCCCGGCGCTGAACGGGTAGCCGGCTGCCTGCTCGTAGGCGCCGAGCGCCGGGTGCAGGGCTGCGGCTGCGGCCGCCGCCGCCGCCGAGCTGGGCAGGGAGGCTGCGGAGATGGCCTGGCCCTGGTTGAGGTAGGCGACGAGGCGCCGCATCTCCTCCAGGGCCTGTGCTTGCATGAGGATGTAGTTCTTGGCGAGCAGCAGCGTGGCGATCTTGGAGAGCTTCCGCACGGAGGGGCTGTGCGCGTAGGGAATGACTGCGCGCAGCTCGTCCAGCGCGTCGTTCAGGTCGTGCATCCGCCGGCGCTCCCGAGCGTTGATATTGAGCCGCAGTGCCTTTTGCTCTTTGGATTTCTTGCTGCTGCCCCCGCCGCTGCCGCCGCCGCCGCCGCCACCGCTACCCCCGCTGCCGCCGCCGGGGCCCCCCGGGGGACCGCTGGCGCCGCCGTGCAGGTGGGCGTTGGAGCAGCCCTCAGCCGCTTTGGCGCCGCCGCCTCCCGCTCCCGGGGAGGCCCTCGGGTCGGCGCTCCCGGCCCGCAGCACCAACTCGCAACGACCGTCGCTGTCGTCGTCGGGGCTCTGCTCGCCGCCGCTGCTCTCGGCCACCGAGGCTCGGCTCGCGCTCTCGCCGTACTTGAGGCACAGGGCGGCCCCGGCCGGCAGGCTGCTCAGACTAGGGTCGCCGCCAACGCCGGCTGAGCCCACAAGCAGCCCGGGGACACTCACCCCGCCACCACCTCCTGCGCCGCCGCCGCCGCCGCCGCCTCCACCTCCAGGCGGTGGCAGCAGAAGCCCTGCCCCCTCGGGGTCCGCCGGCTCGAAGCAGCCCAGGGGCGACGAGGAGGACGACGCCGGGCGTTCCCGAGGCGGCGGCGGCGGCGGCGGCGCCAGTGTCAGGTCCATGCCCGGGGGCGTGGAGCGGAAAGCCGCCTCCAAGCGCTTGGCGGCGGAGGCGCTCAGGCTCTTGTGCAGGAAGAGGTCGTCTTCGCCCGCGGCCGCCGCGCCGAGGTGCAGCCCGCGCTCCATGGTCTGGGGCCGGCGCGGTCCGGGTCCGCCGCACCCTCACCCGCGGCCGCGCCCGCCGCCGCCTGGGCTCGAGAATCAGGCGGCCCCGCAGACGCACGCGAGCCGGGCTCCGGGGCTGGGGCGCGCGTCGGTCCCGCTGCAGCCGGCAGCCCGCTCCCCTTCTTTCTTTTTCTTTTTCGCCTTCCCCCGCGCTCGCCGCCTCCTCTTCTTCTTCTTCTTCGTCTCCAGCCGACGGTGCTGGCTGCTGGGGCTCACCATGGGCTGCGGCCCCGCATGGTGGGAGGGTGGGCGCAGAGGGAGTGCAGCCGCCGCCGCTCGGAGCCCAGCCCCGCGCCTCCTCTCCGCACCGTTTATCTTGCTTGGATTCACCTTCAGGAGATTTCCGGACCCATCAACCAGCCGCCGCCACAGACGGGGGAGTCTTTTACATCATTATCTCTGAGTAGGTTATTATGAAGAAGACTCGCCTGTTGGGACAGCGCTTTCTACCCAATCAGGTTAACGTTTTAATTAATAGGATTAAAACGGTAACAAACAATCGCAGGCGCTATCTGGCCGCGAGTCTGAATAGTTTCATTTCCCAGGTCTGAAGACAGGCAGCAGCTAGAGCTTTATAAAAGGCGCCTGCTCCATTATTCTGCCTGCCATCTGTATACACAGCTTAGCGCATATGTTTGCAAGGCGCTGGGTCCTGTTAGTAACCCAACAACTGCCTTTAGCTTGACATGTGTGGCGACTTTCACTCATCAATGAGCACACTAAAAGCCCTACTTAGAGCTGAGGATGTTCTTTGCTCCTTCAGCAAATTGTAGATCGGCTGCGAAGCCTGGGAGTCCCGGGAAAACCAGACGCCCCCACCCACTGCACCCCACCCCCCACTGCCCTTCCCTTGCCTCTGCTGTCTCAGCTTGTGCTAAATGAGCCTTCCGGGCAAGAATTACACTCTACCCCTGCCTATACGGTCTAGGGTCTGATTTTGGAGAGGAGACTTTAGGGTGCAAGGTGAGGTTCAAGCTATCTTACCCAAAATTCACAGTAGCTTTTCAGCTAGTAAGACAGCAAAGCATTCGCCCCCCGCCAACACTCTGGCTCCCCCCCCCCAATTCCTATCTGGATGAAAGAAAAAAAGAAGTGAAACGACCAAGTTGATTATGCAGTCCATTTGATTTATTAAAAATAATTTTAGGAAGGGAGTAGGGGGTGCTTCTGCAGTGCAATACAAATAACTGCTACAGTGACAGTGATGATAAAACGCGATTTCCCAAACAAGAAGAAACTGGCTTAACAAACTTTGAAGATTAAAATGCAGGTGTGTCAGAAAAGCCGTCAGCAGAAGCCAAATCCTTGCACACACCAAGTGGGGGCATGTGTGCACATTAGCACAAAAAGTAACCTCCACAGCCAGAAACCTTTCGGGGACGCGGCGGCGACCTGCCGATCTGCATGGCTTGTACCTGGAGGGCCAGTTAAGCGGCGAACTGTGAAAACGCGTGCTCCTCGCGGGGTGGGAAATGGCACAGGCGGCCCTCTGGATCCCGGGTTCGGTCTTTCTCGGAGCACGTGGTAGTTGGCAGCTGGTTTACATCTTTATGACATAAGTAAAAACAATATTTCCCAACACCTCCAACAATTCTTTCTTGTGTGGCAGAATTACTGAAGGCTGTGCAGTTTTTGGTTTCTCTGGTTTCATTAAAAACCTTTTAATTGTGGCTTTCAGAGTTGGCCCCAGGTGTTGGACTCTTTTCATTACATTTTCCTCTAATGTGATGAAATTCTAATTCTCTCCTTACCATATGGTTAAATTTCCCCACTGAGAATTAGTTGAAAAAGGAGAAATAATCTATTAATCTCTGTAATAGATTCACAAATGAGGTTCGCCACAGAACCTGTTTTTGAATGGTAATATCAGAGCAGTTGGGCGCCTTATCTCATAAAGGAAGGGTGAGGGCGACCCCGAAATATACGCATTTTCACCTGGAAAAGATGAAAAGGAGCCCAGGCTATCTTGCCAAAACAATTGCCTGACATCCAGTCTCCAGGGGACCGAAGCGCTAAGCGGTCGTGGTGGGTCACCTAACAGGCTCCGGCTCCTTCGGGTGTATTGGATCCCGAAGACTGAGGAAGAGCAGGCGGGCTGTAGGAAGCTCTGTTGCCTGGGACCCAGGCAGCCGCAACTGAAGGCGAATCTCTCTGGGGACCTGAAGGCCACTTGAGTGCAAGGCGGCCCCCACCTCACTGCTTGCCTGTCTCCTCCCCTCCCCGCTGCTAGCAGCTGTTAGGAAGCTAAAGAAAGGCTAGTGTTACTGTTTTTCAGTTAGCAGCTTTGTTTTCACTGGGATCCTAAATGAAGGTTCTCTATCAATATAGGTGTGTCATGTGTGCCTGATGATGCAAACCTGGCAAAGTCTTGGGGCTAAAGGAGAATGGCGGCTAGCATGGTAGTGGCTCTGGGCAGAATGACTGCATGCCCCCTGTCCCTGATGCCTGACTTAATCCTCCATTCAGCCTGCCTTTCCTATAGGCTGAAACTTTCCTCAAACTCCTAGACTCCTGCGGGTCCGCAGTGGGCACTTGAAGGGCACCGGATTCATCACGCTTGGCCCTGGTGGGAGCGCAGGTTTAGCGGCTGGTGTTTGTGGTGTTGCGCCTTGCAGGGTCAGGGTGGCAGAGCTGGGGCGAAGCCAGGTGTTCCGGAGGCGCCGCCCGGGCCAGAGAGACTTCGGAACTTCACAGGATCCCCCCCCCCCCCCCCAGCCATCAAACAGATAACTCTCAGCACCGGAGGAGGATGTCTTCCTTTCCCGGACCCACCATCCATCCAAACTTATGGAACAAACTTTCACGCAACTTTATTTCAATCAGTAGGAGCCAAACACTACGTTCTTTTGCGAGTCAAGAGAATCCTCCCTGTTTCCCCAGAACAGGTGACTGTTTAACAGTTGCTAGAAGTTTTGCTTTGAGAAACCACGGGAGAATTTATAGAAGCTCTAAACTCGGTCCATGTAACAGCAGCCGGGGAATGGTCTTTGAGCTGTACGCATTCACAAACTTTTGGCGATGGCTTCTGTGAAGTTGTTAACTTAACACTGCAGTTAGCTCACAGAGCAATGAGAATGCATCTGCCTGATGTTACCGGGTTAAGCGTCACCAACCCGAAGTCCTGGCCTCAGCTTTAGCCAATAGCCACTCGGTGGAATCAGGCAGCCTGATTTCCGTCCCGGAGAAGGGGTTGACGTCAGCCCCACCCCCCGCCCCCGGGCTCGGGAGCTCCGCAACTCTGTGCTCTGGAACTTATTCCAGCCAAGAATCGGGCAAGGGCCGGGCTCCAGGTGTAACCAGAAAGTAGGAAAGGTGGCAAAAGGAAAGAAAAAATGCCCCCTTTTTGCAAGGGCAGTGTGAGGGTGGCAAACCACCTACAGGCAACTGGCCAACTGTCCTGAGCTGGCCCACAGATGACCCCTCAGAGTGAAACGTCGGGAAGGAAATTCTGACAGTGCAGTTTCAGACAGGGGTACTGAAAACCCCCAAGCAGGTGAGGGGCACACACACACACACACACACACACATATATTATATACACACACCAGAGCACGTTGCCTAAAGATGAATGCAGTTTTTTTTATTGCTCTAGGGAACACACCAATGGCTTTGAAAGGATTTTAAAATATTCAGCAAGCAGGACCACCTTGAAATTAGAACATTGCCTTTCAGACCAAAGTAATTTTAAGATTATATTAAAATTTCTTAGATACTATCCTAATATTTATTTAAGTTTTGAAATAAGAGATCCAATAAAATCACAAAAGAACACAATCTACCTACCTTTGAAGTGCAAAGCCAGGACTGTGTCTTTGTTATTTTCCTAGCTCTGATAAAGCAGTTTACTGCTTATCTACATTAAACAGTTAAAAGCCTGGATTTGGGTAGCTCTGTGTGTTTCCTGAGGGGGAGAATTGTGTCTGCGTGTTTTAACATTTTAAAAATAAAAACAAATTTTGATGAAAAAAAGGTCAACTTTAACTTGGGTGCTCTTGTAAAAAAGCAAATTCCTTGAGATCCAAAGAAATTCTCCCCGCCCCCCTCCCTCCCTCTCAGCTTGGCTTGAGTCTAGCGGAAAGGTCTCCTCTGGCCGCAACAGCAGCGTCCAGGAAGCGTCTACTGTGCTCCAGACACTGGCGCTCCTGGCCTCCCTCCAGCCCTAGTCAGGAGCACGACGACCTTGAAGTTGAACTGTCCTCTCCCACCCTGCACTGTCTGGTGGATCCGGGTCCTCTCAAAACCTGAGGAGTCGAGTCTGGCTGTGGGGCTCACCATCCTGCATTCCTGACGAGTTTGGGAGCTCGGGATCTATTCGGTGGGACAAGGATTCCACCCCATTCAGTCCGCAGGTCACGATTTTCAGTGCCAGTATTTTCTTAGCCTCTGCTAAAGTCCTAGACAGCTCCCAGCAGAGTCTTGGCACCCAAGTGTGTCCCAGAACTGTGGGGACACAGGAGGAGGAGAGCGGAGAGCGGAGATGCAAGGGCCAGCAGACAGGCAGGAGCTGGGGCAGTCCTGGAAGTGCACCAGGAGCTCCGTCTCGAAGTGCCTGGCATCCCAAGGATTTACACCATGCAAAAGTGGGAACTTACTGATAGAAAGTTCTTTCGAGAAGATTTTTCCTAATCTATTTTAAAGAAAAGAGGTTGACCTTCACTACTTTTTGGTGACAAGTTAGACTAAGTTTGAAGAAACACTGAAGAGAAACTCTCAGCTTCTGAGAAACAACCTTTTCATCCCAACGCCAACAAAATAGCTGTAGAGCCCTGCGCAAAGGACTCATCTGGCTCCCTCCTAGATTCCCCTACTCTTGATTATTTTTAAGACCAGGTGATCTGCCTGGCAAGTGAATTAAGTTGGCACCTGCTGTTCACTGCTGAACCCTCAGACAACAATGTGAGACAGGCGGATAAAAATAGTGGAAAACTACTGAAAGAGTTCATGAAGAATCCACTCCACCTTCAGTACTTGGGTCATACA